TAACTCCCAACCAACAATCCAAATACTACAAACAAACAACAAACAACAAACAACTAATCACCAAATACATATCCTTATAATAATATCTTTCATGTAATCTTACAAAATCTCGCCCTCTTTTACCCCCCTTATAATATCCTAATATCTCAGAAATCAAAATCAAAATCAAAATCATCTCAATACTAAGTTATACGTAATTAGTTAGTTAGTTAGGATGTGGAAATTTGTAATTTGTTGTGGGTTTTTTTTATTTGTGTTTTTAAAAAGGGGGAGAAAGAGATAGAAAGGGGTGGAGAAGGGTGGAGAGGGAGGGGAATGGGGGGAATAGAAGGGAGAATGATAAAAGAGAATGAGAAGTTCTTTAGTGATGAGGGGAGATTGTGTTTGATGTGTGTTTATGTTGCTATTGTTGTGTTATTGTGTTGTTTTGGGGGTTGGGAGTTTAGGATGATACACGAGGATGAGGAGGTTTTGATTGTTGTTGGTTTTTTTTTCCTTCGGATTTGAAATTGGTGTTGGAGGTTTGATTTTGGATATTGGGATATTGAGTGATGGGGCTGGGGATGAAGGAAACTTTTTAGATAATGAAGTAGGGAAATATTTTGGAATGTTGGGATTACTTACTAGAGATAGAGATATTTGATGGACTGAGAAGCTGAAGGTAGATTTGAGGTTTATGTTTGGATGATGAGCTTTTCTAGCATTTAGGGTGTTGGAATTATGAAAGTGGGAAGTTTGGGGTTGTTGGTATTGAATGCTTTTAAGAGGTAGGAAGTGCAAAGAAGTAGTCTAGTTAACACTTTGTATTTCCTGGAGATGTATAAAAGGAACGGAGCTTTGTTTTGGAATGAGGTGAAGGACATGATGATTTGTTAGAGAAAAGCGTTTGTAGAACCCATCTTAGTTCGTCTTTAGATATCTATCGTGATTCTTGTGTATAGACCTTAAAATTTTAATTTACGATCTGGTGATCTCATCTCCCACTTCTCATCTTCTACTTTCCATATTCCCATCTCTCATATAAAAGCTCCCCAATCATCCCACAAAATACTTATTCAAAACAACATCATATCTCATAAACTCACCACTCTTCATCCTGCCACCCAACAACAACTTCCTAAACTTCTCCTCCTCAACCACAACACCACCCACATGACCACCAATATAAGAACCACGCATAGATTTCCAATCCCTATAGCTCTCCAATTGCTCCTTACTAAAACACCTCAGCTCTTCATTCAACAACTCTGTCGACAGATCCGAGCCTTTTCCATGAATATCATTGATACCATCCAGAACTAATAAAAATCGCATTCCTAATTCCTTGTGCGCAAATCCCCTTTCGATCTTGGGGTTGAAATAATCCTCGCAATTCGGCTGATTTTGAAAATGATGCCACATGTGTGGAAAAGAGACGATGCATTTAACTTTTACCCAGCCAGCGCACAGGTCGACTTCTTCAGGTGAAGAAATATGTGTAGCTTTAAACCAGGACGCGGTATGTTTTCCCGGTTCTTGGAATGAGAATATTGGTTTGGATCGACCCGTGGGATCATCTAATCCGGTGGTTAGAAAGTGAAAATTCTCAGCGTGTTTTGATTCTGAGGTGATGTGTATCGATAGCGAGGAGATTTGCGGAAGGATGTCTAAACAGAATTTGCGGAAACATATTTTCTCTATTGGTTTCTTGTCGAGGGCATCTCTATGCATAGCTGGGACACTGTGTTTTCTTGCATCGAGACGTCGAAATAGGGGTTTAGGGATGGCAGAAGGCTTGGAAGAGTCAATCCAAAGATATGCCTAGGCTATGTCAGTATGGACATATAAATAAATTCATGGGATCTAATGAAACACATGAGACTTACAGATGATGGAATCTGGCCAAGTTTGAGAAAAGACCGATAAAAACACGTCGTGTTGTAGCCCAAGTCCGAAATTAACCTTGACGTTGTACGAGCCAAATCTTCCTGTGATACCTCATCTTGAGAATTTACTAGTTGCATCCATTTTGCTTGGATTGAGATGATATTTTCGCCCATTCTAACGGAAAACATCAACTGAGCCAGCGCACCATTGTATAATGAAGGCAAACATTCCTTAGCCGCTTGGAACGCGTATCTAGCAATCAAGGTCTTTCGACCCTGTAGTCCGAGATCATCACGTACTTTAATAGCAGCAGCAGCGTTCTTTAGCCACACAATCCATGGTTTGTATAATTTTGAATGAGGCAACACATCTTTAGTAAGATAAATATGTGTCCTAGCGATGGTCCTCCCATCATTATCCGCAATAATTCTCTCTAGAATTCTGGCGAGATCATCTGATCGCGAGGGCCCATAGTACCGTCGACTTTTACCTAGAATATTAACATCCATATGGCCGTAAGCATCATGTTTGCCAAATTTTCGTGCAGAGTAATATGCAGACCAATGACCGACAGTCTCGAGATGACTTCGAAACAATTCACCAAGTGGACGCCCTTCAAATAATTTCCTCACATTGGCTACTGCTTGTCTGTAATAATCTGGGACAATATCTTCTGCTGGCCATACCAATGGTACCAGAGTCGCATCGTCGGAGAGATAGCAAAGATTTCCGAAGTCTCTGATGAAGTTCTCGCAGATTGCGCAGGACATCATACGATGTTTGTTGGGTAGGCCGCGAGAAAACATCTCGTAGATGATATTCATACCAAAATCCTTACCTGCTGGATCTGATTGTTTAATATCTGCATGGAAAATGGGTCCTTTTCTGTTTCTTTCGTTCTGTGAGACGGTCAGCTGCATGGCGGCAACTAGAGGTTGGATTGCACGTTCATCTCCGCTTAGATCGGAGATGTGATATCCATCTGGAAGATCTACGATCTCGAAAAACTCATCCATTTTGGCACGATTTGTTGTTAGCACTTTCGTGTTTTCTTGGGATTGATGTAGTCTGGTGGCACTTAAGTATCTGCATTGTTGAGGGTCAACCGCAGTACTGCCAGCAGAAGGCATGTCGTAGGAAGTTGCTCTACGGCTCTGCCGTATCCATAACCTTCCATACCATATACGAATAAATGATATCGCTAACGCGAGATTATACTGCATTTATATAGTTTATAACGCTCAATGCTTTAACTGGGCGTAACCATCCAACAACCTCTTTAGACTATATGTCTCGATTTGCAGGAAGTGTGAAACTGTGTGATTCTAGTGCGATTAATTTCGTACTTTCGTGCCTCTGCCGTAAGAGATACACTGAACAGCTTTCGATACCATTCTATCCATCATGAATCATTAAGCATACAAATACACTTGTATTTAGCTTTGAAATCAGCGATTAAGACATACGATATCTAGCCAAGACTTCAGAGCTGGCCTTCTGCTATCATCGCACGTCACATCATTGAAGTAAATAGCATCTAACTCAGTAATATAGCTATATTGTACGACAAAAATGTCTACGACTTTCCGTATTCTCATATCTCCCTTTGATGATTATGACCAAGATCATTTGAATCCGTCAAGTCACCATTGACCTTCATAAGCACTTGCACGTGGATGGAACGTGACCTATCTCAATAAAATCCCCCGATCAAGGAATTACGACCGAAAGTAACAACCTACTCCTCTTTCTGCTTATCACGATTTGAGTATTATTGTCATGATCGATTTGAGCACCCATGAAAGATCAATCGCCCACGTTGTTCCACGTGTGACCCATATTAATTTAAGTGGAGTGCCGGATGGAACGGAATATTAATCTCACCTAAATGAGATTTGTGATATCTCCTGCATCAAAAGCATCACTAATAAAAAAGTCTTTCCTCAATAGTGGTTTAATGCCACCAATGTGCTATCGTTTCTCGGGGTCTCGGTCTTATGAAGCGAAAACATTGACAACGGCAAAAGTGGCAAAAGTGGCAAACGGATGATATATTTTATGTAACTTCCGGATGCAATTAATATGATGTGCCAAGGTCCAAATAAGCAAGAGTGTTCCGCTCATCTACAAACTCATCCTGTTGGTACAGGGATTTTGACCAGATACGGCGTCAAAATTTTCTTGGTTGAAAGCTTGAGGCATGGCAAGCAAACATTCCCGGCGCTTATAAGGTTATTGAGACATGTCTCCTTCTTGGCAGACAAATTGTTTCGATACCGAGCAAATGGCTTCAATGTCCGGTTCCACGTCTGCTTTGTCAGTATATCCATTACCAAAGTAGAAGAGGACTTGTCTTCATTGCTTTTTATGGCACTACTGTGTAGCTGATTTGAATGGCGAGATCAAAGAATTGCTGGGTTCGCGATTCTTTTGAGAGCATATTGTTGACTTTTGGGAGTGATCATGAAGAGGTCCACATATAATGTGATCCGAGCCTCATAACTCATTTTGAAGATCTCGAGAAGCGCTTCAAGTGATCGTTCATGTGGGCCTTTTAACATTGATGGATATCAAGGATATCACGGTCATTCGCCCTTTACATTGTGTCCTTGCTTGGGAGTCTGTGATTTCATGAATGCATACTCTTTTCCTTTCTTCAGAAACTACTCCATATAGAGTTGCAACTTGCGTGATGACCTGATGTCTGGACACAGCGAATTGGAGGTTGTCAATCAGCCTTTTGAATACTATGGCCCGCAGCAACATGACAATTTGAGTCAAAAGGATGAGCATGGCCGCCCATATTATCAGGAAAATACCAAGTTCATAGGAATGCCGGTATTCCCTGCTGAACTGCCATTCGAAAACTCTATACCCAACCCCATTGTATCATCGCACAGGACATCATCAAATCTATCAGACCGACAATTCACCAATATCTCTGAGGCCCCTTCCTCTCCGACACTACACAGTGCACCTTTGATCAAACAGCCTGTATCGACAGAGAAGGAGACAGTGGAAAGTATACAGGGTACCCAAAAAGAGAGGAGACCGTGGAAATGGTACATGTTAGGAGGCGTCGTCGCGCTGGTTGTAATTATAGCCGCTGTGGTTGGGGGAATAGTTGCATCTAAGAAGAACAAAACATCGAATGTGAATGGAGTATCGGGTGGAGCTCCTTCTTCAAATAGCAATAGCTTATCACCAACGAGCTCCGCCTCGAACAATTCACCAACCTCTACGTATACAGCATCTTCAGTGAGCTCTACTATTGCTCCATTCCAGAGAAACGTTGCCGCAATCTCCTACGCATCCAACAATGTCAACAACTCTAGAGTGTATTATCAAGACAATCAAGGCCATATACTAGAATCACATAGCAATGCGTCGAGCGAGATTTGGTCGACAAGTCAGATTGTAACCGCTAAAAATGGTTCATCATTTGCTGCGGCTGTGACGATGCCAGCCAACAACTTCGTAGGATGCCCATCACCAAACCCCGAAAGGTTCTTTTCGAAATTACGCAGCTGCTAACTAAAATATAGGAAATCACTGTATTATACTCCGATTCTGACAATCTGCTTCATGACATTATATATGATGTCGCATCAGATTCATGGAATGAAGGAACCTTGTCCTCTGAGAACTACATCATCTCCGAGAATTCAAACGTCGCGGTGATGTACTGGCAGTGCCTTTTATGCACCAACACAACCATCATCTCTTTTCAAGATGTGAACAACAAGATACAGGTTGGAAACTTAACCAACACGGGTTGGGTTTTGACCCAAATAAATGTTGATGTTGTAGATAATACTGGTCTTGCGTTGCAACCATTCTACCGTCTCAACCAAGCACATCAGATAAATTTGTACTATCAACAACCCAATAGTAACATGGCCATCTCAGCCTGGGAATATACCAGTGTGTTTTACTTTAGATAATTTTCTATGTTATATGTTAAATGCTAACGAGATTTTGCAGCTCAAAATTGGCTACTAAATGCAGCAACATACTACTCCCTAACATTCGGCGTACCAATTGCCGCATCGGCATCGTACAGTAGTGTCATCTGGACGGGGAACGTAAAAACCGGCTTCGAAACCTGGGGAGAAACACTCACATTATCGCATCTTGGCATTAAATCCAACACATACATGGGGGCTCATAATGATTGGGAAGCAATGGGTATCCACCCTTCGGCAATGTCAAATTCCACACAAAATCCCAAAGTATTTAAATCGATCGCGGCCACGGCGACTGGGGCTGCTTTTGCCGTGGTGGCTATCGATGGAAAGCCAGATGTGATAGAAGCATATCAGGTTGAGGATGATACGATTAATTGGAGTTCGGCTGGAATTGTCGATATTGGTAAGACATGGGGATAAATGAAATAGATGAAATAGATGAAAATAAAATATATATAATTAATAATCATTCACGTATTTTTAAGAAATTATGGAAACCTTTGTAACATTACATACGAAGTATCTCAAATATGAGAAAAGCTTCAATCAATGCCCATTTCTTTTCTTCAAATCAAAATCATATTTGTCTTCGTGTTAATCTACAATTTTACACGTTACATTTCAAAGTTCAAACGCAAAATCGAAGTTGTAACCTCCTGGCATCATTGACGTCATAGTGAATTTTTCCATATATTGCTCACAGACATGCATATGCAGGAGCTGCAGGATGCTTCTGCAGTCACGCTCTAAAGCGGTTGATTCAGGGTCGTTTTCGGGGTTATTTTGAAGACATTTCTTTTTGGGTTTGGTTTTTTTTTGATTTTCGTCGTGTTTTTCATGTGAAATTATTCGTGTAAGGGTGGTTTGTAGGTAATTGATTAATTGATTCTTATTGAGAATTGAAGAGAAAAAAAATAAGATAAAAAAATTAAAAGACAAAATAGTATATTTTCATTCTCTATCGTCGATAAGAAGGAATTTGTTAATTAGACGCAAAAGGGGAAGGAAGATGCAGTTTAATCAAAATATGGACAAGGTAAAGAATGGAAATGTTTGGAGAGTTTGAAGATACAATACCTTTTTGACGGAGTTTTCCTTAATGCATTGACTATGTCATTTGTCTATCATTATGGCCCTATTATATTTCGTCCTTTACTTCTTGTCATTAGAAACACACACATTACCATAACCCTCACAATCTCCCTTGGTGATTGGGCACGATAGATCCTCCTTTCGTCCTACTTCCTACAACCTACACACTCAGGTCCATGCCACCTACCATTTTCAGAATCTTACACTCGCTCTTATGACCTTTGATGTTCCAACCTTCTGTCTGGCACTCCTGTATTTGTGGTCAATTTTAGAAACTATTCTCTCCAGATTTGGAACCTACCTTTCCACAGTACCATACCTCACTACAACCCTTACATCTTGAGAGTTCCTCTTCACTGGCTTTTCTCTCACACGATTGACATGTCACCCGGTTCTCTCGGCTGTTTTCTTCAATGTTTTCTGAAGCGTCAAGAAACCTCTTACTTATTCCTAGTAATCTCTCCAAGGATGTCGGGATAATCTGCCTTCCTCCATCAGTCCCTGAATCTAATCTGCAGAGAATACCAAAAAAATAACTCACAACAAGATCAGCCCACGCACACCTGATGTATCCCTGTTTTCCCTCCCGGACCCCGTGTCTCCTCGGATTCGGCACCACAACCGTATGCCCTTTCTTTAATTTCTTGATATCAAATTCATCCCCACCTCTATTCCCATCCCCGTTTCCACTCACACTCCCCTCCAATTGCGCAGGCGTTAATGGCGCCTCGAGAATAACCGTTAGTGCAAATGACACGCTAGCTGAATCTGTGCAAATAAAAGTAGGAGTGGTGGAGAGTGTCATGTTTTGGGATATTGTTGCTAAAAGATATGTTTTTCGGGGGGTTCCGGGTGATGCTTCAACGGTAGGTGCAGTGCGTGAGAGATCGACGGTGGGGTTGAGAGGACAGGTGGAGAAGGTTAGGAAGGCGGGGGACAGGAGGTTGGGGAAGTTTGGGGGCATGTCGACAGGATGGGTTTGATTGTTAGGAAGTGATTGTCGAGTGGTGAAATGCCGAGTTGGGATGTGAGGGTTGAGGGGTTGATTGATTGATTGATGACAGCGAGCCGAGCTGTAGACACTTTTGAGGTGAAACACTACCCGAAACGTGGTGATATGAAGGGGTTCGACGATCAGGTATCTTGATAAGCCATCGCATGCTGATCCTGCTTAAGCACTTACTTGAAGATCGTCCACAGATGCCGAACTTAATCAAGGTTAGGATATCAAGGATATCAAGCATATAAAAAAAACTTGGACGAATAGCATCTTCTATCAAGGATGGTTCGACAAACCATTCGTTTTCACGTGTTAATCACGTGTAACACACCCAAATCCCTTATTATGAATTGGAGTGGATGAATTTTGGATGGAAATGCAAAGCAAGCTAGATTCAGTAAGTTGTGTTGTTCAATGTAACGAGGAGTGGTTGATCCCTCCCCATTTACGACTGGGCGGGAAACATCTCTCCACCTTACTAATAATATGACCACTCATCATTCCACCACGGAGACTCACCGGTAAATCACCAATTTTTGGGGTGGAGCTGCGGATCGAGTCAGTCGTCATACATGCATATCCATGATAGTGACAATTTACGACCCAGTTCTGATATTTGAGATTCAATTCCACTCACGTTTCTACTCTCTTCAGACAGTTGTTTCTAAGAAACTAAAAAAAAAGGAGAGAACCAGCCATCAACATGTCTACCGATGAAATTATCTCTCCCCGAAGCGGGATCCCTCCTATCCTCAAATGCCCATTCGAGATTAGGTTGATGATTTACCGACACTTGATCCCTTCAATCGACCCTTCGGCAGACTTTAACTGGACTTCGGCTTGGGATCCGAATCACCCCAAATCTCGCTGCGAAGAACATGAACTCTACTCACCGCCTATACTTCACACAAATCAAATGATCTATCGAGAAGTCTTGAACGAACTCTATTGTTTCCTACCTTATCGGACGTCGATCAGCAACTATGGTATCCGATTCTTGGGCTACACATTCATCAAACCACCACCAGCTTTCCAGTATGTCCACACGCTGGACCTCACGATTCAAATCAACAGCTATTCTCATGCAAAAATTGCCAATATCTTGAAATCCTGCGTGGAGACTACCTGCGCAAATGGACAATTACGTCGCCTACAAATTGGTCTCTCGTTTAGTTTGCAATTTTTTCAAACAAATAGGGGGAATCCAAAGGATCTTTGCAAGATGTTGGAGAAGAACCTCTACCCGTTAAGGAGGAACCTTCGTCGCCTAAACCAATTCGTCATCAGAAGATTGACCGAGAAAGATATTTCGAGTTCCAATCGAAATATTTCGAGTTCTTTTGTGGTAGAACGAGAGGAGTTCTTGGATACTGTTCAAGGGTTCATGAACCAGTTGGCAAGAGAAGTGATGGGTCGCTGCAATTCTTAGCTGAAGCAATCGAGTACGAGTGCAGCTCATATGTTCAGCTTCGGCCATGGATTAGACCATGTCGACTATCTCGAAAGATATTCCTCCCCTATTTCACATGGGCACAGCAAACATCTACTGGTGCATACAACTATGGATGAGAAATCTGGGACGTTCAAAGTTAGATTATGTTCTTCTATCTTAACACGAACCTTATCTTCAGGTAAATCCTAGAATATGTATTAGGATGAATGGCATCAGACATTACACCAAAATGTACATCGCCTCTTTCTTCGATGCGTACACTTCCAGACTCCAAAAGTTACCTTATCCCAACCTTCATGTGAGATAAGCATTCTCCTGGTGATCAGGGACTGTCTCATCTTATCCTCAAAGATATTGAACACGGAAAATAGGTCAAGGATATCTGGTCTATCAAGACACCACCTTGAAGACCAAGAAGAGATGAAATGTTTTGAGAAGTCCGAGAGCGAATGAAGGGGGTTTCGAGTCTGGATGAAAATGATGATGAATGCGGGGGTCATGTATTAGTTCAAGCAATATTTGAGCACAAATTTTCTTCAGAGAGAACTCAGATAAAGTTGAATGGATAGAATGATGTGATGTATTTTACGATATCTACTTGTTAGCCCTATCATAGATTATATGAAAGTTTTACATCATCACAAGTTGAACTTTCATCCAAACACGGTGTTCAACAATGCACGCACGTGATAAATTGAAACAAAATTCGAACTCGGGGCACGGTCGAAGTCTAGAAGTACAAAAGACGAACCCACCTGATACTCTGCACATAAAGATACGAGTTTGAAAGGGATCAAACAATGCAAAGTGCTCTTTCCGGGGCATATATTTCGCGCAAGTTGGTAATTGTCCGACCATTAGGATTCGTACACGAAGTATATATATATGCGTGCGGGAAAACCAGCGTTAAATCCCATCGACTCGCTCTGCGCGCTCGGTGTTTCTCATGAGACGACAATTTGAATCCTCATGATCGTGTCAAACCATAGCCACGTTTACGCGCTTTTGGGTATGTGGTATTGGGATCATCTTTGCGATGAATTGTATTGCATTATTCGCAGTTTACGGAGGTCACAGCGGGGTTTTACGAGGAGCATAATGATACTCGTGGGATAATGGGATGCGTATTCGTCCGTGGAGGAAGGTTGCAATAGCATCTATCTCATTTGTTCTAGCGTTTGGAATTTTCAATACTAGGAGCTCTTCCTCTTCGATTGCCGGTGTGCATTTAATCTAGACTGTGTAATATGTTTTACATGGTGCGGAAAACCCCTCATCTCATGGACGAAAGGATCTCAAACGCTTGTAGTGTTAGTACATAAAGACTTTGGTATCCCATTAATTGGCGATGGCTTCCTTATCTTTCGGTTCTTGTCTGTCGTATTAAGGTATGATGCGTTTTTTTGTTCATGTTCATATATGCGTTGGCATTTTATTGTCATGTGCCGATGGTCTGTTTACCCACTTCGAAATTCTTTTATGGTCTTTTGACTGACTTTCCTTTCTATAGCGTCGAGATTGTCGAAAGTGATTAATCGTGGGTATAATAGCACGATATCTAATGGCACTATATATAATGGCACGATATCTAATGGCACGGCATCCGGGAATATTCTGAGAATTGTAAGTCTCATGTTCATCCAATATTCACCTAGTGTCTTCTGCCCATTCGTATCCCTTCCAACCGCTACAATACTAACTATCACAGCAACCGCTTGGCAACTCGATAACTTTTGGCTATTTGTCTACTGATGGAAATGGCTATCGCCTCGGTCTCCTTGATCAACTCATTTCTGCTGGAAATACGGTCCAGTATGTTGGTTCCGTTCGAGTGGGTAACATGAGCGATAATTTTAACGAGGGCCATCCTGGAGCCGTCATCTCACAAATCGCCGAATATGCAAAGCTATCATTCTCTGAGGATCCCAATCTCGTTCTGTTGATGGCTGGTACGAACGACATGAACGACTTACTGAATGTCACTACCGCTCCGGAGCGACTCAGCGCACTTATCGATGAAATTATTTCTTCGGTTCCAGACGTGACTGTAATAGTTGCTCAACTCACCCCAGCTGCAAATACGACAGTAGAGAGCGCGATAGTTACGTTCAACTCTATGATCCCCGACATCGTCGCATCTAAAGTTAACACTGGGCAAAAGGTATCCACAGTTAACATGATGGACTATGTTACTGTGAATGACCTAGCAGATGGACTTCATCCGACAGATCATGGATATCAGCAAATGGCAAAAGCGTGGTTCGCGGGCATTCAGGAAGTGCAGAAGAAAGGATGGATAGATCCTCCGATTTCCACCAACATTACTACTGTGACCAACTCTACTATTGTTTCTACCAATGCTGTTAATGCTACTGTTGCTGTCACTCAGCCTGTTCGGACTACACTTCCTACTAGTACGAGTTCGAGCACAACTTCTAGTAGTAGCAGCACCTCTTCTAAATCAGCTTCTGACCGACAGTTCCTCATTCCTCCGGTGGGCACCATATCTCTTTCCGCTTTGCTTGGTTACTTTCTGTTCGCCTGAACACATTGGATGATTACGTTGAGGATGAAAGACGTCGCCCTACATAGGGTGGATTGCAAAGGGCAATAACCAGTGATATTTTGGAAATCAAGATGATCTCAAGAGGCTATAGAATCTGCTCGATTTCCCACGAAGGAAAACTGCTAGGCCTAGCTGTGAAGCTATCATTTCATCTCGCTAAATGACCGAACATAAATTCTAATATATCTCAAAAGCCGATCATCCAAAAAAATCATATACGCAGCAAACCTGTTATGTTGAATTCAGTTTGAGATATTTTGACAGAAAGGTCTTTTCAGTATATAATTACAAAGCACTTAATTTATTGATAATTTAAAATACTTTTTCCTATGATAATTATTTTTATTTTACTTGATTAGCTTGTGGAATTATTTATGTATGAATCATGATTCGATAAGTTTGAGTATCCTGAGTATCCCAAGCATAGCTATAATCTCCATTAACAAAAGAGAATGCCTACCTACCCCTCTACCTCAAGCACAAAAACTACCCAAACCCACACGAAGGCTACGGTCTTTCCCATATTCTTTCCCCATATCCCCTCAAGCCAAAACTTGTATACTTATACTCATACTCTATACACCTCTCTAGCGCAAATTACCAACGAAGCTAAAGCTAAAGCAAAAGCTAAAGCAAAAGCTAAAGCAAAAGCTAAAGCAAAAGCTAAAGCAAAAGCTAAAGCTATCCAACATCTATCTGCTCAATACCCCATGAATAAAATAAAAGGTTGAATACTTATTTCTAGATTATATATTAAGAAAACATTACATCAACACGAAATAATGAATCAAAGTTAATAATTGAAATACTAAATAAATAAATCAAGCAATAAGAATAAATCCATTGAAATGAATTGGATGTAAGTTTATTTAGATACCTATCCGAGGGTTCACCAGTTCTTTCTTTTAAACAGGCCAAGGGGCATACACTAATAACCATTATGTTTCTGGTATTTTTTTGGATTTTGTAATTAATTACAGTAATAGATCATCATTTGAGGGGTATGATTTAGAGTAATAATAACATGTATCCGCGACTGCTTCATCGGGGTCTTTTCTTCTCGCTAATTTGTGCTCGGGATACGATGTATGTAGAGTATACCCATCGAGATATAATTCCTAGGGCGATTTTTCACATATGCTTTCATTTAGCTCCCTTTCTATTTCTCCTCTTGTATGTGACTGGAACTTTCTGTATTAAGACTCCTTAAGTCCCTCACTTCGTTCCTTAATGTATCCTCATGATCCATATACGAAATATGCTGTCGTGACTTCAGCCATTCAAATTACATTCTTATTAATATCTCCCGCCAATCCCAATCCCAATTCCACTTCAACCCCTCCTTCCTCCACCTTTTTCATCATATCCTCATCAAAAACATGAGCTAACGTCATTTCCCCAGCCCAATCACGTAATTTCCTATACATGAGGCCGACCCTCTCCTCAAAAGCATTCTTCAGATTAAGATAGACTTCACCAGAAAAAGGTCTTTTTTCCAACTCAGGAGTCAGCGTTCCTCTTATCACTTGATCCAAACCTTCACTCAGATGCCCATCAATAGGAACTATCTTCCGAAATTGCTCGCGGCTCTGCTGCAAACTAAGTTTAAGAATATTGTCTAAAACGACACCAGTACGTGCTAATTCATATACAATAGCAGCCACCCACCAAACCTCGGTTTTTAGTTTAACAGGCTGAGGCCCCCAACCCTCATCTTGGGACGTAGGCGGATCAAATTCTGGATCAGAGATATGGCCACCTAGAGGCTCAGTGAATGAGGTTCCAAAGTCTCCAATCTTTACGTGTGGGTATCCATCTTCTTTATCTGATCCCCATTGCAAGAATACATTCTCGGATCGAAGATCGTCGTGAAAAATAGCTTCGCGACCCAAATTCTCTACCTTTGTATTATAATCCGGATGTTCGTTGTGAAGAAATGCTATGCCGCTAATCATTTCATAAAAAACTTGCCAGATGAACAGCTCTGGTGGTTTTATTCCTCGAGTCCGAAAACTTTTCGACAGGATACTGAGGTTACCTGCATCGCAATATTCGAAATAGAGCCCCATGGCATATTCTTCATCGCCATATCCAGGTTTGTATTGAACGAATGCTTCGAGATTGCAGATGTGAGGATGACCATTTCTGATATATCGGAGAGAGATTCTGGTTTCCTCATTTCTTAGCACGAAGACTTAATCTCTCTACTGAATGAGAGGAGCTTTTAGTGGCATCGCTGCTAGCTGTCAGAGGCGGCTCAAGAGCGCCTTCAGGAAGAGTGTCTGAACGGTCGAACTTTGTGAGATTTAACAGGAGCTTCAAGGCATAATGTTTGTTCGTTTCTGTATTCATGGCCAGCAAAACGTCACCCCATGCACCAGACCCAAGGTAACCCTTGAACTTGTGATTTTCGAAAGTTAATCTGGGATCGTCTCTCCATTTATTGCGACGAATAATTATTTCTTTTTGGCGAATGGCTTTAATAAAGCGAATAGCAGATACCTCTGCTGCCCGAGCCTTCTTTTCCGTAGTTTTGACATTGTGCTCTTCTGTTGATTTCATTTAGCGTACCCGGCGCAAACACAGGAAAATTATTTCTCGAACGGATCTGTGTGATAGAAATCACCGAGATATCAGAGAGTTGGGTTTTTTATGACATCCTAATGAAATTTCTTTGTCTGGAGATTGTGGCTTGATGGGGAGGAGGGCCGGAGTGATACGATGAAAGACAACAAGGTCGATACCTTTTAATATAATATGGACACCCTACCCGCAGGCCGCTCCATATAGGCATTGTAAATTTTTGCAAGATCCCAACAACCGCGGTTCAGTCAACGCGGTGACAGAGGATGGTTTGAGTGACAGTGGAGAGCACGAATAAAATAAGGAGCTAGCATCTGGACCCAGCAAAGATCCCATCAAGATAACCATCATTGATGACTATTGAGAGTTTGCTGCGCAGACTACATCTGCATCATCTTCTTTTCCATGTACCGGAAACTCGCTAATTTATACTGGAATTGTTATAAGACATTTTTTCAGAGAGGCTGAAGGCTTTCAACATTGGACCTCCCTTCAGTATTCGAGAAAAGAAAGGCAATACGTTTAGACACCACAAGCACCTTTGAACGGCCCAAAGATTATGGCCGACCTGCGGTTATATGTGTTGCCTATTGAGCCGCCGATTTTAAAATCCTTGCTTAGATTATTTGATCGTTTTGTTTTGTGTTCCTACATTCCTCCATTTCTGCAAACAGCGCCACGCTATGAGTGTTACCAGTAAGGAGCACAATAGCAGTGCTATATTGTATGGAATTCTAGGATTGACTTCATCTAGTCACTTTTTATCCCCGATTGGTGAGATTCTACTGTTGAGATAGTATTCCAGGTCCTCAATCTCTAAAACATCGGCGGAATGCTCGAGACCCCTATATTATTGTCAACACGGAACATCAACCACAAAAATCGGTAGGTAGACTTACGGGTACATGTTTAATTGGACTTCAAAGCCTTCCTCACGGAGAACCTCTGCAGTCTTAACACCCCATTCTGGTTTGACAAGAGGATCGCTGTCTCCATGGCCCATCCAAATCTTGGTATCCTTGTTGGCACCTCCTTCTGCTCCCAAGAATTCTCTGAGTTTGTTGTGTAATAGCAAATAGGAGCTCAAACCAAAGATTCCCCCAAGTTTTGATGGGCATGTAATTCCGGAAAATATTGCCATGGCCCCTCCTTGGGAGAAACCACCGAGAACGATGCGATTAGATGGGATCTTGCTATCTTCTATTTCGGATTTGATGAGTGAGTGGAAATACGCTTGGGATCGTCGGATTCCGGTTTCGTCTTGCTCGGCTTGGAGGTCACTGAAGGTTGTCTTTAGTGCTTGAGGTTAGCGATAGTTTTTATGTGTACCTAGCAGCAGAGTAGATACTATATGGATGAGTGGACGAACGGTACCGTTGCGCGGACTTACAATATCATACCACCCTGGCATGGACATCCCAAAGTTCTGAAAGATTTTTTGCATCAGCATTTCATTTGAAGATTATTTCTGGCTGTCATAAGATCTTACAACTGTGATGGGAATGGCTGGCGCATTTGGAAAAATGAATTTAACTTCTTGAAACTTTTGACGACGACGCCAATTCTCTGCGAGTGAAACCCATCCAGCACCACTGTCACCAAGGCCGTGAGACATGATGACAGTTGCAGTATGCTTGGTGACTGCGGGGATAGTGAGAGCTGATGGAGGAGGCATTTTATGGACTGCGGCGGTGGCAGATGTGTTGTTGAAGGTACTTGATAGATTTGAGGGTTGCAGATAGATGTTAGATCTTTCTAATATCTGCAGACGTTCTAAAAGGAAAGGTGGACGTTGGTTGAAATTGTTTGTGTTTCCGTTTCCGCTGCGCAAATAGATAGAAGGAAGCAGAAGCTCCCGAGGCTCTCTTCTTTCTGCCCCGCCTTATCGCGCTAAAACGAATCCTTGCATCTTCTTATCAAGGATGATTGAATATTATCTTTCAAGTACTCGGTGCTATCTTGTTTTATTATTCGTTTTGTCATCACCCCATAACTTCTGCATCCATCATATCATTTTATGATGTTGATAATGCTTTGATCTATTGAATGTGTTCTACCGTATCATCCCATAGTTTTGTACACCTCTTAAACATTTGAAAGAGCCGGAATCTCCAACCATTCACTTCAACCCAAAGCCATGGCTCCAACAACACCTCGAAACCAATCCCCGTCACAACGTCCGCTCCCCGGATCTCCAACTTATTCATATGCTTCTACGCTTCCGCTTGCGTCCACATTTTCCCTTGCGCTTCCTCCTCCGCCAGCCCCCCACCCTCCACACGCTGTCCTCACGAAAGCTGATCTTGAACTCTCCCAAATCGCCTATTCGGAACTCATTAGCACCGCCAAAAGTTACCGACTAGCACTCGCAGAGCTAAGCTCATCTGCATCCGCTTTTGGCAGCGCCTTAGAAGCATGTGCACGATTAAAAGAAGCACGATCCGAAGGCTTGGCTCCACCTGGTGGCAGTCTTAGCAATAGTTTTACGGCGAAAGGAAATTGTACTGGAGATAATTTGATGTCTGCTAGTGGAGTACACCAGTTGATAGCGAACCATCAGCAAATACTTTCAGAATGTGTGTACAGATCATTTGAGGTGCCTTTACTGCATGAATTAGACAATTGGGGTCGGCATATAGAGGAAGAGGAGGTGTCATATCGGAAGGAAGTCAAGATTAAGAGCAAAGAAATTCAGAAGATGGAGAAGGAGGGAATGAGACTACACAAGCAGAGAAAAAGAGACGTGCGAGGATTCAGGGGGCATTTGGTGGAGTTAACTACAAGACTCGACGGCCTTACAACACTCCACGGTGAACATTCGAGAGCCTTGTTGAGAGACTGTCAAGATGTCAGCACCAAGGTTGTCGAAGCTAGTTCCTCTCTCGTTCGCGCAGAAGTGGAAATTTTTGAAGCCCTCGCACGAAAAGGTTGGACGGGAGGTGGCCTCGAGGATTTACTCGAACATGGACAAGATCTCTTCTCCTCGGAACCTCCCATTGCAAACACAGATTCCAGTGGTAGCCCATCCAAGATTTTTAGTATTCTTCCACAAAAATCTATCCTTGTGGATGCCACACATCCCGCTCCCGATACACCGCACAAAAAGATACATCACAAACGGAGCGACAGTCTTCTTGTTGACAACAACCATTATCATTCTCTAGCTGCAGTCGCGGAACGTGATATAGATGGGGGATCAGTATTTTCTGAGCGAGATACGAGGATTCCGAATCGTTCCAGAGCTGTAAGGCCCTTCAGCCCAGAGCTAGTCGGAAGAAGTCTTGATCCACTAGAATTGCCTCCACCAAGCCATATTCCCAGCCTGAATCCATCTCCCAGTGAAGAGTACGTCGAGAGATCAAGATTTGAAGCCTTGGGATCCGTCACACCTGAAATATTCAAGGACCAAACTATCTTAGATTCACAGGTACCCTCAACGATTTCCTCACCGGAAATATTCGCAGAAACGCAGACGGAAAGGGACATAGAACCAGACGCAGTACCTGCAACAAGCACCGAAACAGAAATAGACCAAGAGGCCAGCAGTCTACATTCGGAAGGAACCATCCGCGGAGACGAGCAGCCAATCCCACGTCCCGAACACGAGTTTGAACAGGACGAAGAGAGAAGCGAGCAAGGATGGGTTGATAGATTTTATGTTTAAACGATTAGCACGTACATTATGAACTCGAGCGTACTAATACCCCTTCTAGATCATTTTATGTTTTGGTTTGTTTTGTTTTCATCTCTTTCCAGTCAAGCGTATACAAGGTGTTTGGGGTATTTACTTTGGGTTCTGGGTTCTGGGTTTCGGCTTCTGGGATGGAGTTATACAAAATTATGTGATGTATGAGGCGATTTGGAGGTGTGCTAACACGCTCAACGATAATAGAGCTGAGTAGAGTAGAGTAGAGACAGTTTCATGTTTGATGATAGATAGAATGACCAAATAAATTTTCATGCTACATTCGTTCGCTAGGAGGAAGTCTCGCGCCATAACTCCTTTCGTTCAATCACCCGTGCATCCGCACCTAACTGGTTGGTCATTAATTACATTTCTTTACCATCTACCTTCTTCGTGTGTAGTTTCTCGTTTTTGCGCAATCTCGGGTATAGTCTCATAGCATTTCCAATCAATCAAGTTCCTATGTGTCGTGGTCCAAAATGTCACTGCCTCTTGCGGTTCATCTTCCCCCTTTCTACAAATAAAAGCCTTTAGTCATCCTTTTCTCCTCCCACAACTCCAAAAATCCCTAGGTATGTATCGAACCAGTAGATCATCTTCCAGTAAAGACTCGCTTTAGCCCAATCAAACTCGCCCGTCTCTGTCCTTGGCACCGTGTCCCCTATGATATCCGCACTAAACCAATTTAATAATGGAATGTTGGACAAGACTTGTTGCGTGTACGATTTTTGAGGGAGTAGGGCTTGATCGGCGGGAAGGAGCTGCAGGCGTTTCGCGGTGGGGATTTTGCGACAGTAAAGGGAGGGCGCCTCGGGAGCTGCAGGACCTGCAGAAGAGGGTCGTTGTTGAAAGGCGAGCGTACCACCCGTGATTGTGGATGTTGTTAAAGTAGTGGTGTCGATAGTATGACTGGTAGCCTGAGAGCCTTCTGGAGACTGGCCACGGTCCTCGAAGTGCACGCTTCGACCGACTTGCGACATTTCGGGGGTAGTCCAGGAGCGGGGGAGACCCGATTGTTGAAGCGAGCGTTCTGCGCCAGGAAGTAAAGGTCCGGGATCGAAACGATGTTTGTTAGCATTAGAACGAGACGATCGCGTCGATGGTACTGTAGAAACTCCTGGTTCATCTTGTGCGGGTGGTGCACCGCGATACAGTTCTGCGGTGACATAATGACCAAGCACTGGCTGCGGAGAAGCTTCCATAGCTAATTCTGCTGCCTCTGCTGATTCAAACGTAATCTTAATCCAGTGCTTCCCACCAGCATACTTCAAAGCTTTCGCCTTTTCTTCTTTGGTCAGTGGACGTCTTCGCAGAACAACAGGATCTCGAAGGTCTGTTTTGTATCTACGTTGATCCAGAGGGGCATCGCGAGGGTAATCTTCGCAAATGTGACCAGCGATTCTTTCATATTCGGCGATAGCGGCCCATTGATGTTCTGGCGTGAAACCTCGTAGTATAACCTCTGTAGGCTCCTTGTGTACAAATCTCGAAGATGAGCCGCCATTGCCCTCAATTGCTGCCAAGGCATTGTTATCTCGCAGATTGCTTTGCGATAATGAGGGTTGTATCGAGGACTTGCGCTGTCCTGATTCTGTTGTAGCCGCAGCTCGTCTTGCGAAAGTGGCAGCAAAAATTGCATCTGCGGCTGCTAAGGTCGGGTCCTCTTTTTTCAAAGCTGGAGTGCCAGTTCTTGATCGAGATCGTCTTGTCGATTTGCCAAAGGATCCTGTCTCCGGGACTGTTCTTCGAATTCTTGCTACGCCTGGATTCCCATCATTTCTATTTGAATCAGATTGATAACCCTCCATTGTGTGGACTTGAAAAGCTTACCCAGGGAATAGCATGGCATAAGGTCTTTTGACACCATCATCGCCTACATAACACTCGTCTTCTGGAACATTATGTAATATTAAAGGCGGCATTGTAAAATTCTAAAGGGAGAAGAATGTAAATGTCTCAAATTGAGGTGGTGGTTTCTAGAATTCGTGAGGTTTTTTGTAGTTGTGTTCTGGAAATCTTTAGAATTCTAAGATCTACAGTAATAATAAGTCTCACAGCGCGACAAATCAAAAAGTATTCGTTGCTATGGGAAGAACACCAGAAGACAAAATTTAGAAATGGCAGGGATCAAGGATTCACACAGGCGGAGGGGAGCGCCGCATACGGTCAAGGCAATTGAAAGGTCAACGTCATTCAAACCTTCAAAGCTTCAAGATTTCAACGACGATGAATAATATTTCTATTTGATATTAACCATAACCACAACCCAACAACAGCAATCAAAAATCACAATGTTTCGATTTGTAAGTACAAGTAGATGCTTCTACTTCTTGATTATGGAATAGATTAAATGATACTGACATAGTCCATATACAGCACAAAACTCTCGATGTTATTACTCTCTTCCACAAGGCAAGCTCCCCAGCTTCGTTGAGAGTTTTCACTCTTTTGAAGCGAGCATCTGCCAATGCCGCTGCATTCGCGACGGAAGATCAAGCTAGCGATCTCGCTGCCAATACCACACCACAAAGAGACGAGTTTGAACTGGAAGTCACCGAATCTGCACCAACCCCAGATCAACTTAGGAGCATTCTCGAATTTATGGGCCCATCAAAGATTGGCAGCATTGTTACGGGTGCAAAGGATGAAGCGGACGCTGTAAGGAAGATCAAATCGAATGAGGATAGTTTCCAAAGACCTCTGGTATGTTCCTCGCCATATATGCGATACTGTGGAAGGAAGCCTCGACTAATGATCTATAGACTGTGGATTGGAGCAATGGAAGAGCAGTGGCTGGAGACAATGAATCTGAGATATTGAAGATGCTCAATGCTCTACCTAAAAAGTAGTCTTTGCACCGTTGCACTGTACACCATTTCAAAAGTTCTCAATACCAATTTGATTTGTCTAGTTTCATCGATTATTCAAAACAATCTCAAATAATAACTGTGATATGTTGGAATGGATGGATGACTGATTAATAAACGAATAAGGCTGAGTATAGATTACCATGATGATGCCACACAGTGTGAAAAGGCTTGGAGGTAAGAAAATGAAATAACAAGCTCATAATCATTAACATGGAAAAGTATGTCCCCTTCGTGCTCATTCATTATCCCAGTTGCATTTTTATCAAATACAGTTAGAAACAACGATTATTTCAGAGGATCTCTTGCCCTCCCTGTCAGATCTCAGAGTCAGTAAAGCAGAAGACGAAACAATGATTCCAAGAGATTCTATAATGTGTGAGTCAAATCATTATCTGCTTCCCCCATCCAAGTTGAACGGAAAGAATAAAAGGAGAGCTCGAAGTATGCTGATGCTGGCACTGTTGATACCAATACAAAGGACTGTGAAAATAAAAATATTCATTTCCACATCATTTCACTTCACCTCACTTCACCTAACCTTTCTTCACTTCACTTTGCAAACAGACTTGTACTGATTGTACCTACCCTACCTACTTTACCTACCTACCTACCTAGTGTTTGTTAGGTTAGAAAGTGAATTGGTACGGCCCTAATAATTCTTGTTGAGCTACCCTAGCCTCTCCCACGATAACTGTCTTTTTATTTCTACTGGCCTTCTCCTCCCTCCTTCCTGCCTTCTGTCTTCCCACCTTCTACTTATCTTTCACCTTCCCATTCTTCCCAGCTTCCTCCCTCTTTTTAATTTTTCCAACCAAAACCCGCTTTTTTTCATTTCTTTCTTTTTGAAAACAAGATCTGCATTGTCACAATCAATTCTATCGATTGCATTCTATTGTAGCATCAAACGAGTCATTTATTGTCGCTGTTGACCCTCCCTAGAGCTGCGTTGCTGTTGCTGGCAATAGCACCAAATACCTTCTCAAGGAGCATCAGCAATTTACCAATCATCTTTTTCTACCCAGACCAGTACCTCACAAGTTAAGGGTCAAAGAAGAATAATTCTTCAGAGGAAATCAACCAAGTCCTTATTTCGACTTTCGAACACAGATCGAAAACTCATACACAACAATTCCGTGAAAATGAGTCGTCCACCCCCATTTTACCCGGTCATCCCGATAAATATGACACAGCACAATTATCAACAAGTCGACCCGGGAAATACCATCGTGGCCGGGCAGAGTTCTCAAGCACCGCAGCCGACCACGAATGATCATACAAGATGGCAGGTCCAAAACCATGCTAGTGCGCCCGCATGGATCTCTACTCAGGGTGGCCTCTTCCCAAAACGTGAACCTGTTTCAAATATGAGAGCCACCCGTATTGTGCATAGCGACATCAAGGCCGACATCAATGTCGAAGCTGCCCGCTTGAGACGATTATACCCAGAACTGATTCGCTATGTCAAAAAACCCACCGGTTGGGACGACCTTTACCATCTTTGGGACGCAGCCGACATACAAATGGAGGGTCCAGAATTTCTCTACTACGTTATGCATCAACTTGGTGAGGAAAACGAGCAGCTCGACCGCGAATATGAGCTTGCGAAGCACCACGAGATCGATGAATACGTTCAAGCATGGGTTAAAGACAAGAAAGAATCCGTTTTAAGCTGTGCCGCTGGTGACATGTACGAGCTTTTCTGCTCGGATCCTTCGGAAGATGACGACTTTTCTCCAGAATTAAAGCTAATCCTTAACAAGACTTTGGAAGCTCATCGCTTGCGTTTGTTGAGGGACGCATCTGGTAACGCTGTTAATGCCACAGTTCATGACTCGCTACAACCAAATAGCGTGCCTCAAATGTCGAGATCTGTTTCCGACAATGGAAATCATCCTAGACAAAACCGAATCGCCCGACCAACGATTCCCATTGTAACCGCAAGTCAGTCCATCACCACTCAGCCAGGGGAAGTAAAACCAAAATCGCATTTTCTTCCTTTGACGCAAGCTCAATTCACGCCTAGCTTTCATGGTGGTAGGAATCTTAGCATGCCGTTAAATTTGCAGATTCAAAATCAACCAGCATCTACAAAGCAGGAAGAAAATATGAGTCTTGCCTCAGCAGTTCCGCATCAACCACAGACACACAATCACATCATGGAGGCTCAGCATGGTATAGTCAATGGCCTCAACGCTTTGGCTGACTTCAATCTCGCAACTAGCCTCAATGCTTCATCTGGTCCTGTTGTTTCACCAGCTCGTCATAACAGTTATCGTAACGACAATACGCTTCGCAATAGACCTAGACCTCGTGAAGATTCGATTGAAACTCCTCGAAATAGAAGAAATCAGTGGGTGAGCCCCCATGGAACTCATCAGAACAAGTTTATCCATCAAACGCCGCACAACCGTCAACTAAGTACTTCCGGTAGTATGAGAGGAAGCCCCTCACGGGTTCCTCAGGCCGAACCTATTTACATCCGCAATTTCGAGCATTCTTCTGGCCTTGTTGGTGATAATCCGAACCAGCGCATGAGCAATGGCGATTTCGTCGGTTCTCGTACGGAGCTTCCTAGCGATGCCCAAAAGACTTTTCAACATTCCAAGATCAATCAACATCCCGATTTAGGTGAAATGGAAGGAGACCCCAAGCTCCTGCAAACGGATACTTTCTGTGTGTATACTTACGATACTTCTGCACCAAGAAACTCTTTCGGTCGAACTCTGTACTTGAAAGGTCCTGATTTGAAAATGTTTCACACTAGTCATTTGAAGGACCTGATGTCCACAGTTGGAAATGTTGTGTCAATCAAATACTTGTTCAAGCCCTATGACAATGGCCCGGTCTTTGTAACGTGGGTTTGTATGATATTTTCATTAATGCAAAAAAGCTAATGTGGTGTTAGATTTGATGGCGATGTTTTGGCCATGGCGATTGAAAAATTCAATGGCTACAGGTTGCCAAACGGACGTTTACTTACAGCAGGATACCCACACGAAAATTCGCGCGACCGCTCGGGCAGTAACTCCAGTTACAACAGTTATCATGGAGACAACCACACTCGCTACATGTCAGCTGCTGGGTCAGAAAATAGAGCCTATTCGAGGAGAAATTCAATATCACAACATCGTCCATCGAGATCTCAAAGCGGCCAAATCCCATTTAGGTATTTTAGTAGCAATCATATAATTTCAGGTAATGTTGGCGAGCCTTTCCCACATTTAAATTCTCCTACTCGACCATACCCCGCGTCATATGCACCGGTTGCCCAGCAACAATCACCAGGACATGCGCTAGGTGCAGTAATATCGGAAGTTGTGCAGCATGAAAGAGGAATTGCACATTTTCAACAACAAATGCCCCTCGCCATTATGAACAGTAGAACCAATATCCCTGGTATTTCTCATTATCGAACATATGGTGGAGCTCAGGCAGAATCTCATCGTGTTAATACGAATTTTGGAGCGGGTCCCGCCTTGCCAAATCTGTCCAATCTCCCTGGCAATAGAAAGGAGAATTCCCCAATCAAGCAAGCGTAAGGAGCTACAGAAATTCGTATCGATTGATTCACAAGTTGCTAACAATCAACAAGATTTGACAGAAATGCACAGTTTACACCTACCAGGAAACACAGCAAAACATCGGTACTCACACAAATTACGTGCGTTATAAAGCTAGGTTGAAAGTCACAAATTTGTTCCATACTAACACACAAATAGATCAACCAGTACGACCTCAGTTGTAACCCCTGCTGCGATCCCCGTGGAATCATCATCTCAGCCTCAACTGAACAATCCAACAGTAGAAGTAGTCTCACTAGAGGCCTTGACCGGTGAAGTGGCAACAGTTCCAAAAACAAGTCAATCATTCACCAATGAAACCACCGCAGAATCGGAGGCTCTGAGTACGGAGATCATCAAAGAGGTAGGAGCTGCGGCTCCAGCATCTCCAGGCCATGTTGAAATATCCTCATCAAAATTATCGAGCGAAAAAGTAGCCGTAGAAGCCGCGAAACAGTTGCCTCAAGCAAAGGCAAAGAATTCAAAAAAGAACAAGAAGCAATTCAAATTCAACAGCAAGGTCGATATCGACAAGGAAAACAACATTTCTTGTTCGACTCGTGCTATTCCTTCACCAGCTGAGTCAGAAAGCACAAATTCATCACTCGTTGGCGGAGACATATTTTTCAGTGAAGACTCGACCAGGAAACCAAGTGTTTCTTCGATGGATTCAACATCCAACAATCATTTAACGAAAATTATTTCCAAGTCACAGATCATAAGTGACAAAGCCGAAAATCCAGATGAGAAGGAAAGAACTTCCGCGAAGGCCCTAGACAATGAATTGATATTGGCCGCCAGTGTCGCTCTAACCCAACCCAATATAACTAAAACCAATTCCAGCCACCAAAGATCGAAGACTGGCGGTTCTACAAATGATTCTCTTAATAAGAGTCGTTCAACATCTACCAAGGATCTCAAGAAACAGCCCCATTCAAGCAATTCAGATAATTGTGATTCTCCAACGACTGCTACAGGATCTGTCATCAACACCGAGCTCAAGACAGCCAAGTTTCACGAGAAAACCCCCCGGGATGGTGGCGCCAAATCTTCCGAGCAGCAGGAACAATTAAAGGCGGATTCGAGCAAGAAGAAGAAGCGTGATTTGCCCGAGGTTATCCAAGAGATAAAAAAGTCTTCAGTTTTAGTTGTCTCCAATGACTCATCTGAATGGCCATCCCTAGCCCCTTCAAAGTCACCACCTTCGAGCATCGCTGATGGAAAGCCACCTCAATCGATCGCTCTGTCAGCCTCGACCATTCTCAAAACTAAAGAAGTAATAAAGCCAGCATTGCCACTTAAGCCACTTAAGCCGCTGCATCGACCATCGTAAGAATCTCGAGTCTGATTTCCATACGCCATGCGAGCTGATGCCGTGTAGGGATGATAAGCTAGGGAGCATTGTTTGGCCATTCGTAAGGAGATGCAAACGAAAGGTTCTATCAGAAAACACTGGTGGATGATCAACGCAGAATGTTCTTTGATCGGCATCCCATTTGAACATTTGTATTTACCGGTATTCGCTAATGATATATATTAATAGGAGAAGTTGGGAAGGAGGGTATAAGGAAGATATCCATAATATGATCTTTCCACATCAGGAAAAGAGACATAAGACAAGTCAGTAACTACTGCCATCGTGCAAATGTGCCTTTTAATATTCTTGCTGAGTCCCTTTGCTATGAAGTTTCCCCTTTATTTGTATCCTTGCTGTTGTGCGTTCAACTTTAAAAATATTCTAAACGCCCAGCTCAGAATGCTATTGTAAATTTTTCGATTGTCATTTACTACCTCCATTCCTGGAGATAAGTGTCCAAAGGCTCATAGATCTTTTAAGGATCTCTCATCCAACACAAATTTAAGGTCGTCTCCTGGAGCATTAACACATCTAGGAATGGAAACTTAGAAACTCGACACAGGTGGTTGTCATGAAAAGTACAGGACCATAGGCTCACAGAGAGCGAACTTTTACACGCAATATAAGTTAGAATTAAATTTTACTCTCTTTTACATCACCTAAAGAATAAAAAGGAACTACCTTTCTGCACGCAGCTCCTTCTCCGCGGAATGATTTCCTTTACATGCCCTGCATTTTATAGTTTGAAGAATATCAAGGAATATACGTGAGGCATGGTACGGGTGTCTCCAAAGTGTATCTAGATTGCCTGGCTTTAGTTTTTACGTTTAGTCGCTCTGTCTTCTTTCTTTTCCTTAACACTTGTGCAAAGGACACTCGAAGATGGAATTTATCTTCGCTAATATTCTACAGGACTCTACTTAAAACCGCATTTTCCAAGCTTCCATGGATTCACTCACTATTGGACTTTCTATTTGGAGCAAGACTTTTAATGATTAGTGGATACCAAACATTTCTATTGCAATTAGATGGAAGTTAATGTACTGATGACATATGAGTGGGTATAGTCTCATATTTGTATACATAACCTCCTTTACTACAGAATATTCATTTATTCACTTTCGAGATCTATCTTACGGCCACTAGTTTCACCCTTCAGCCAAACTCAAAACTCATTTAAGTGTCGTCCATATCAGACAACTTACTCTTTACCAATACCACCAGCTCACACATCGAAGTTTTTCCAATATTACAAATCAATTTTAGCTACCATCGATCACCATGGCAGATGATAATACAGATGAAGATGATCCACAAACGTTCCTCGGCTGCGGGTTACCTGAGTATTCTAAGCTGATGATGCACAGGATTTTGGAATTTGTAGGGGAAAAAGATAAACCACGTACAACAAAAGTCAGCTGATGCGTCGGCTGCATGAAGCTCAGAATGCCGGCCGTATATCCACTGCACAGCGGGCAACCATTAGAACTTGGTTAGCAGGAGGGTCGACTAATCGTATCAGGGACCATTACGCTCCGCAAAATGGACAATCCGCATAGCCACAAGCATCTCGGGTTACCAAAAAAAGAAAGAGAATTACAAAACCACTCAAACTGGCTAAGAATTCCGCGTCTAAACGTGAAGAGTCCTTGCCGCCACGACAGGATCTCCGAGAATGCTCGATATTTGCAGAAGAAGTCAACTTAGCTGACTTTCCACATCAAATTTCAGCTGACTGTATGCATGAACCAACTTGCTGCCGTACATGCCTTTCCCGATATATTGACGTACAGATTGAAGGCAAACCATGGGATCAGATTACATGTATTAAATGTCCCGCCCTTTTATCTTTCGATAACGTGAAGTCATTCGCCTCAGAGGCTGACTTTATAAAGTATTTGTATATCCCACCCCGCTATTCTTATTATTCTTGTCAATATCTGAAATAGATACGACCGAAACGTGCTCTTATCCTGCATTCGTGGTGATCCCAATTTTACGAATTGCCTTGGTCCAGAGTGCGGTGGCGGCCAAATTCACGAGGACAGTGATGACCAACCCATCATGACTTGTGGGGCTTGTGGTTTTAAAACATGCTTCACTCACAAGATGCCTTGGCATACCGGTCTCACATGTAATCAATACAATACTCGGGAAAGAGAGAGATTGCAACAGGAAGAAGCAAGTCTGCAACTTATGGAGAAGGCTACGAAACAGTGCCCACAATGTCAAGTTCGCATCGAAAAGAATGATGGTTGTGACCATATGACTTGTGAGATATTTAGCCTTTTGAAGTTTAAATATTTGGCATTACTAATGATGACTAGGTCGATCTTGCAAGCATGAATTCTGCTGGATCTGTTTTGTTGATTATGAGTTAATTCGCTCAAGGGACAATTCTGCACATACACCTACTTGTCCATACTATGTGGGAGTTCCTCTAAGATATCAAGCTCATTTCCCTGCCCGGCCGCGAGCTCCAGTTAGTGTAGATCACTATATCGCAAGGGCTCGACCCCACGCCTTAGGCCGATACGAGGCTGAAGTACAAGAATACTAGGACGACGAGGATGCCCAGGATTTCGAGGATGACTAGGATGAGCAGCATTTCTATGAAGAAGATCGTTTTCGTTGATTTATCAAAAATTTCACTCGCATTACCTATCGTATTGCATAAGAACCACACTACTCAGTTCCTCGAAATATACAACAAGGGATATTATAAACAGGATAGATTGGCCGGATATTTTTTCAAAGCAGGTAGTGCCTATAATACTGCATAGGCAGGAATTGGTTACTAGCTAAGCTCTGGTTGCTTACTTATATTTAACTGGCATGCTCTAGGCTGGCGAAATAATGATTTAGTGGTATCTTAGCTAAGATGGTGGGTGCATGATACTCGGGATACGGAAAGCACAGGATATTATATGCTTGGGTAAATAGGAAAATAGGTTTTACGGTGGGTTGAAAAGTTATTGATTGGGATATATGGCATAATTGGTTAAGGTTAATTCATATATTTATATTTAAATCGATGATCAGATTTTTCCCAAATTTAAAAATGTTTGATAATTAATTTTTTCTTTTCTTTCCTTGTAGTCAAGATCAGTTTATATGTATTATTATATTACACACTCGGACTCCAGACTGCGGTATCATGAACAAGCAATCTTACACTAATTTTCGAACCAGCTTTGGGATATTGGATTTTTGAGTATTTAGTGGCTAACCACCTACCTACCTACCTACCCACCTATGTAGATAAATTGAAGTTCGTGGCGTATATTCACTAATATACCTATCTAACATCTATATGCATCTGGGAGAGTGAATCGGAGCGGGACAAAGATCTTATGTTAGTTTTGTCCGCCTCGCCTTCGCACTTAGACATCTTTAACAAGGAGATAATCAAGATTGAGAGCAAGAAAGAAAAATTATATATTCATGACCTAGGGAAAGCACCCGGATATGGTGAGTAACCGGTTACTGGATATACCTACTTCATGATTTTTCTGATAAATTGGTTTAGGGTAAAGAGGATTAATAGGATATTTTGAACTTTTTGGTAGCTTTTGTGATATTTTTGCTTGGATGATATTGCTTGGATGAATGATGAAGAATGGAGAATGAAATTGGGCTTTTGATCGAGGGTGAGGGTGAGTAAGGTTCTGTTTTGGTGGGGAAAAATGAGGGGGTTGATTTATATTGTGAAATGGGAACCTGGAGAAAGGTGGAGGAGATTGTATTTTGAATATCTAAATACTGTCTTGAAAGTTACTTTTCAAGGTAATAGAGGTGTATAAATTCTCGGTTTCTCTGACGCTCGATATAGATACTACGCATCCCTGATACTCTGGTCTCAATACATTGATAAGCGACTTTTTTAAAATCGGGATTGCTATCCCTTTTAATTTGGCACGTCACAGTCTCAAACATTATGGATCAATGTGGTATCAGATTTTACAGCTTTCAATATCAAGATGATTTGAGAATGTTCTCGCACCTTGGAAATGGGATTGGAGAGATGAGAATCGCATTTCATGGGAGAAGAGAAACTTTCGCTGATTGCCGCAGAGCAAAAGCTCAATTCGCTTGGAAAGTAGGTAAGCAAGTCTTGAAATTAGGTGGTTTATAACTATAGATCTTCGCTTATTTTCGGCTGCTCTTGTCTCTGTCCCGGCATATGGGCAGCTAGTAGTTTGATGTGCAATAAATCAAATTTCTCAGTAGAAGCTTGCCGTCGAATTCCAGACAAGCAAAGCCTCACGGAGGCACTTAGTATAGTTAGTATGATATTATCTTTCCTTGAGTAGAGTATGCTTTAGATGGGCAGTTATGCAAAATCATTGAGCCGCTGAGTGCTGGATAGATTAGTATGTAAGACCATATAGGCTTAAATAGTCTCGTCCACATTTGAGGCCATGCAAAATGTGTAAGGCTATTTCAGTAAGGCATCTATTATTGGAAAGAGAGTTGAAAGTGGAAGTTGGGTACCGATATCAAGAAGACAGGGAGGTCTCGGCTATTTTTTGAGTAATTAAATCCGAAAATCAAGTTCGGGAAGCAGTCGGATTTACCCCTTTTTTGTACTCCATTTTTAGAGAAAAGTCGTTGGTCGGAAACAGCAAACTTTCGCTTGGGGCGGTTGTAACCTAAGATTACATCACGTGTGCGCGGTGAACTTGGGGGCCCGCTTGTGGATCTCATCCCACTTTTACGATGTGATGTTTTCCTGGCTAGCTTCTTGGTCAACATTCATACCATCCGTTACTTCTAATTCATGCGCGTATCATTGCTCTTCGTACCATAGCTTGCTTATTCACCATCATGGTATGTAAAAACTGAGTATTTTCCGATTTTCAGCTAATCAAGTATGAACTTAGGCCAAACCACTTTCAGATGAAGAAATTGCTATTTTTAAAGAAGCATTCGATTCATACGTACGTGTCTATACCGGCAATGAGTTAACGTTTTTGCGGGTTAAATGCTAATTTTATCAACAGGACACTGATAAAGGTGGTAAGTTTTTTGAAGCGACGTATTGTGTTTTTTGAACTAATGACTATTCCAGGTAACATTACCGTGGAAGAATTTGGCCATGTGATGAAAGAGTCTGGAAAAGATATAAGTGAGGAAGAACTTGCACAGATCATTAAAGAAGTTGACATCGATGGCGATGGTACCATAAATTTCGACGGTGCTTATGACTCCATGATGTTTTTACATTACTGAGTGACATTTACTAAACGTCTTTAGAGTTCATTGCAATGATGACCGGCCGAACGAGACAAAAGAAGGAAGATCTTAAGTCTATTGAAGATGACTTGCGGGCAGAGTCTGCACCGATTCCTGTAGCAAGTGAAGAAGATATCAACTTTGGAGAAAGCTTTGACGAAGATCCAGAAGAAGAGTGGAAATCCGCATGGAAAGAATTTGATCATTCCCTCAATGGTTCCATTACTGCGGCGCAATTGAGACAGATCTTTGGAAATTTGGGAGAGTCTATAACTGATTCGGAGATAGATAATGATATAATGAAGTCGGTTGATGCGGAGGATAAGATTAGTTGTGAGCATTTTCACAATTCTATAGGCCGATGTGCTTCTAGCGAGAGAGAGAATTACTGACCTTGCATTAGATAGGGAGTTTGTAGAGTTTATGAACGAAAGATCCTCGGCGGAGATGGATATTTTCAACAGTTATTAGGAAGGCAGGACAATGATACTTTTAGATGCATACTCTTCCTGTACAAGAACACGGACAGGGACGGATGATTGGATTTCCAGACTTAATGTCTTTCATGTGAAAGCAGCGATCTATATTTCACATGCTCTGCTGCATGTGCCAGTTGAATCATTTGCAACCAAGTACAAACTTTCTTTTGAGGTAGCCATTGTTCGTGCCGTGGGATTCGCTTTATATGGCCAGCAATTTGTTATTAGCACGAAGGATAGGCTTGGAAAGAAAGAACTTTGCTTTCTGAGTTGGTGCTCATGTTTTTATGAAGTAGGCTACGGTGGCTACATTGGTCCGTGTTATCATTGAGGAAGGGAGTTATCCTGTCCTGGAGTTTTCTCAAAGGACTCCCTGCACTCGACTACATGCGTAATACTGACACAGTGCTATTTCAAGTCCTCAGCCTTGAGATGAATACAAGGATGAATTTGGCAATGTTCACTTATATATGATGCAACTTCCAAGTGGTGGCCAAAGGAATACTTCCCTAATTCGAATATTTATAATGTTTCGCTTCATGTTACTACCTCAAGGCGTTATTTCAGAAGCGATGTTTCGATACCACCCTGCGGCAAGATCAGCTAGCCAAGTAGCTGTTCTCTGTTTTCTTGAATTGGGGGTCAGGGCTTGTTACGTCGGATTTATGGCGGTATCCAATTAGTGAAGGCGATGAAGGCACCAGATCTTTCATTGTATAATTATCTACAGAGGTTTCGAGTCGATGATTTTGCTGGCTAAGATAATTTCTTCAACATTTAAAACTTATCTGCACGCTTCACAATTAATATTTCATACCATAGTTGGAATCTCCAAGCTTGTTACTATTTTTTCTTTTCCCTTTTCTTCTTTTTTTAATAAGCATTATATTGTTGATATTCAGATCCAGAAGGTCATATATGAGCTCAGAACATTTCTTATGTGATGTAGCTCCTCAACCTAATACTGAACTGATGTTTGCCGGTGGTCTGTGAAATATGATCTATTGCTCTTAGAAGCATAAAAAATCACCATCTGAAGCGGCTGGCATGCGCGTGAGCTCGAATACTTGCTCACGGGTTTCGTGAGACTACATCACACGTCAAGTGGGAATTTATAGTCTGAATTTTAACTGATAATTATTGTTTTGATGACTTGCACATTGGATACTCAGAATCCCTTCTAGGTTTCTACAAAGAGTATACAGAACCAAGGTAGAGTCAAAATGACCATCAATAAATGATTTAAATCCAATTTAAAATATCTAATAACCTAAGTCCATACCTTAAAAAACAGCGCAATTTAAAATCTCATCGAGGGTATCTTATACAATATAACTAAGAGTTTTGGACATTACTTACCGCACACCATTCAAATTCGTGACAGAATCCCTGCAAAAGCTTATATTTTTTATACAAAATTAAATATTGAATAACTTTTTAAATATCGAACGAAAGTAAATGAAATTTTGAGTTATATTGATTAAATATAGTAGAATTATAAAATATTTCATATTTTATTTTTAGCTATTTTTGTCAAAAAATTATAGTAACTTAAAATTTCAAGTTTTCAAATATTCGAATTTGTAACGTTTTTCCTATACAAAAATAAGCGATTTTCGTGATTGTTTTACTTTTTTAACTTCAAATATATATAATTTTGAGAACAAAAATTACCAAAAATATTCTATTTAATTTTTACCAAAATCTAATTGATTATTTATATAAAGATTTAAAAGTTTAATAAATCATCTTTTTATTTGATATATATAATCAGGATAGAAAAAGGTGAAAAATCGTCAATTTTTGTGTGATTTCGCCTAGTGTGTGATGAGTGATGACCAAAACTCTTATAAAACGGCCGCAGCAGCAGAGTAAACTAGCGTTTGATAAAAATTAAACGGAAAAATACATAATTGTCTTGATTAACGTTCCGGAAAGAAGAGAAGTTGTCACAGGAAAAGCCCCTATCCGTACATGTACAGCTGAGCGGCCAAGCTTGAGCCGAATTAATAGGCAATGGCGATATTTGAAGTAGAATGGACCGATTAAGCAGATTTCCATGTACCATAACTCTGAGGAGCTCTCGGCCGGTGTGGCGAATGCTAGAACTCATTTCTCCGTTGAAAGTCCGGGATTGGAGGCAAAGTTAACTAATCGGGAGAAAAGCTTGCTCTATTGCCGTCTGTCTTCGGCACGGGACTGGGAGGGGATAAATCAGTGCCAGCGTGAGTGGATCAGATGGTAGGTTTACGATGGCGTGGTTGGGGTGAAAGCAAATAGATGGTTTCTGTTGGTACGAGAAGGATACGGAAGACGTAGCACCCACGGATTACGTAGGTCCTGTATGTCTAATTGTATTCTGTCTAAAGAGCTAGCTACATATTGAAAGTAGTAAGTCTTATATAGACTTACTAAAAGAGCTAGTCTCTTTCGCGTTCGCTTAGTTCTTTATTACAGTAGTAATTTAAATTGAAGTCATTCACTTCGTTCACACAGTTTCGTCTTTAGCTTTCTTAACAATATCGTCTAATCGTGTGTCAATCTTCTTTGCATCACCACGGTCTTGAGGATTTTCAACGAGTAGCTCTTCCATTGTCAGGTCCAATAATTCATGTACTGCTTCCGAACACTTCTCATGTTCACGTAGTTTTGCCACCCACTCTAGTACCGAGTGTCGTACCTCTGCGTAAGGTTCCTGGTTGCGCTCTCTGATGATAGTATAGAAGGTATCATCATCAATACCCGCACTATTAGGTTCCCCACGGCCATCGGAGAAAAGTCCAATGCCGCGCGGGTCAAGTAGAAGCCAAGTGACAAACTCCAGATAGGTTGCCCCCAGGCTCCAGATATCATAGGCCCTCGAAATAGGTTTAAATAACCATAATTCTGGAGGCTCATATGTTGGGGAGGCGTGAGCTGCAGACGGGCTAATCCTCGACCTTGATTCCATCAAATTAAATTTTCCCTTTCCGAAGTCGGCAATCTGCAGAATACCATTTTCGTTATCTATGTCGGGACCTTTTTCGAACCATAGCAAATTTTCTGGCTTCAAGTCACCATGACGGCCATATTTTGGCTCCCCTCCTTTCACTCCCAGAGCCTGCCCAATAAACTCGCGAGAATCTTCAAACTTCCAGGCAGGTTACACTTGCCTGAAAATTGTGCAGCTGGTCCGAAGCACTGGCAATACCAGCCATTTGCCTAAAGGACCATAGTACTGTCATTTGATCGAAAGTAAGGTTATGATCTTCTATTGGGTTTCTTGAGACCAGAAAGAGCATCAGATTGAATTGATTGATTCTCTAGCTAAGCAGTTAAGCTGCGAGTATATATTCAAAAAATGAAGGAATAAGGTTAGGTATTCAGCCTTCGGAATTAAAGTGCTTTGAAATCAAAATATTGAAAGCAAACAAACAGTATACCAAAAAGGAAAGAATGAATTAAAAGTTGAGTTTTGTTTGCTCCTTATATGCATCATGCAATATATATGCATATGCTGCCAAGATCCCAGGAGGTCAACATCTTCCCAATACTCTCTCAGATTTCCTGACGCAAAGGGGAAGATAAGGTGATAGATCTCTTCCTTCTCGAATGTGCCTAGAAGTCGAATGAGATGCGGATGCGGGGCTCGCTTAGAGCCAATATTGTTTCGGTCTTGATCAGGGTCTCCTGCGTACATATTGAAAGTAAGTAGTGGGCCGCTGCATTCCAATCGAGCATTGCGTAACTGGTTTTGTAAATTCGTGGCAGCTGATTCCGAACGAGGCCTTGTCAATGCATCAGACGCGCTCCTATAAAATGCCTCGGCATTCAGAGGAGTATCAGGTAATCTTACATATCCGGTTGTTTCTGGTTCAAAATTTTTGGGATTATTTTGCCATACCCTTGTTGCTCAATATCTTCGATTGAGGTTGGCTCTTCAAAAAATTCTTGAGGAGTTCGTTGGATGGATTCATCGCAAAAAACGATCGGCCGTTCGGATTTGATGTTGATGCGCAAGTGATTGTAACTCCACTGTTACCATTCGAGCCTGATTCTATTTGGTCAATCCTAATGGGCGACTGTCACTTGTTCACTACTTTAGTCTTCGAATTATCATTAGCATTCCCAACCATATATCTTACATTCTGTAGTCTTGGAAATGCTCACAGTTTTTGGGCGGCTGTGAGGCCTTGTTTTCGGTTGGCCATGCACATGTCTCCGTAAGCGTATCCTGATCTCAAAGCAATCAAAGTCATTGCGTTAATTGACAGCCCGCGAAGCCTTCCAATTCTCTTACAAGAGTGTTTACTCGAGGAGATTTAAGTCCTACTTAATTTGACCTATGGGCTGATTCGCTTGCTACTATATACCTATTTATTATGGCGAGGACGGTATCTAAGTTCAAGTAGACTATAGTATCTATTGCCTTAATTTCATCGCTCCCATAAATCACTGAGGTAACAGTGATCTTTATCGTTTGATTCCTATATAATTGATGCTACAATACGAGGTACGAACCATAGATGAGCAATCAATCACACTGGCGGCTGGGCTTTAAAGATGGCTGAGACGGGGGCATTTTTGCAAACTTAAGAACGCAAACATCTAAATATAGCGGCAGGTTGCAGACTGTATTGTGATACATCGCATAGAATAAGCGGAGCTGCAAACTCTCTTTACAGAAGCGCTTGATCATCAACGTTCATTTAGCCTGATTCTACTGTGTTTGCAGTGCTTGACCTAGTGTTCTGGGGTTCTACAGCAACCGGTAGGGCGAATTGAGAATGCTTCCACTTCGCATCTTGGCGCTGAGTCCTCTTTCAACATTTTTGCATTTTACTTTGACGAAAGCAATGAAGGATCTGAAACTAATCAGTCGCTGTTCGAAGTGGTTAGATTGCCCATGTAATAACCATCAATAATCTGGGGTGTTAGGGAGATAGACATGATTCAAAGACAGAACCCAAGAGTAAATAAATTTATTTTGAATAATCTCAGCAATTGTGTTTAATTGATATTAGATATATGGGTCGAGGAACCATCAACATTTAAGCAACCCACAAAGCTAGTGTATAATTTCGACAATTCATTCAATACATGCTTCGTCCCAGCCACTTAAATAGCCGAGGCTCAGTCATACCCCCTAACTTGGTGACAACACAGATTTGAGCCTACCAGCCGATTCAAGGATGGGGAACCCCTCGAACATGAAGCGACTGCCCATTGCACAGTATTGACATCAGTATTGGCACGACTCGATCTCTTCCTTTCCAATTAATGTCAGCTAAAGATCCTGAAGGTTAGACGATACGTAGGATTTAACACACCTCTGTAAGATCTCGCGGCACATCTATTAATATCCATCGCACCACTCTTTGAAACTGTCAACAAGAAACATGACATGTTAGTCTTTCAGCTCTGATTTCACTACAGATTTGATGTACTAACTCTTCGTTCATGCCAAGGGAAAAGCCTACGCATCAAAGCCTTAAGGCGTTTTTCATTAATGTATCGATAGCTGCAATCGATTGACTGTACTGGCATTCTTGCTGTTTAGAGGAAGATCTAGAATCTTTTGTGAATATTTTGGTGTTGAAGCGTTAATTAGGTGAAACTGTAAAAATTTGGGCAGACTGACTAGGGCTTCCCGACACTTTATGTATTCCATCGCAGAATGAGGCTGTAAATACGTAATCTAAGTAACCAGTATACAGCGACGAATGGAATTGGGTAATACTCAACATCTGATACGATGGAGCAAAGTCTGATGATTTTCTAGGTGTGTCTAACATTACATGGAGAATACGCTGATGTAACAAAACCTTCGTTCAACACAGATGTGCTGCTGTGTGACTCAGCTTGACGTAGGATTCCGATCTGCCTAGCAATCCGTCAATATGCAGGCCATCCTCTTGGTTTGGATTTAAAAACAGCCTTATCACTAAAATTACTTGTTTGAATATCCTGTTCAACGAATGTGTTGATAAGTATGCTGCGGAAAATGATTGTTTGAGCATCTGAATCCGATAAAAGCCATTCATGCTTCAAATAGGTATAAAAACACAAAAAATCTACTGGAAGCGGAATCCAAGAGTTCTTTATAACAACTCGATTTATATGAAAATCAGAATCCGGTAGGCTGCACAACGGGGCTCCACGGGACGGATTATTGCTCTTGAAGGGTAACCCATAGATAATCTATCTATAGAATAGACAATTGTAGAATTTAAATAAATAATTCACAAACAATTTACAGATTATTATAGATATCCATCAATTTGTAAATAATTTATAGATTTATAGATTATCTACAAATTATTTCTAAATTATCTATAAAAAGTATTCATTTAAATTTTTGAAGTTATTCCTATATTTTTGTATTAATTTATACAACTTATATTTATTTGTAAATCAATAGATTATCTCTAGATAATCTATAAATAATTTATATTATATAGATTATTTTAAAATCCTAATAAATAATCTACAGAGCGGATTATAGACTTAATAGGTAACCTATAGAGTGGATTATTTGCAGATATCCGCAACCTGCGAGTTATTTTTGTGTAGCCTAGAATCTGGACTACTTCTTGTCAGACGCGACAGAAGGTAAGGCTATCGAGACACCTACTATGCTCAGTTACTTCATTGAGTTACCGAGGAACATACGATCGAACCAGATTATGTCAAATAGCGGTCTGCTTGTACACAAGTGTTCATACCCCAATCGAAATTCCAAATTCTTGTCCTCCATTGATCGACTATATTGAGCTCGGTGTCAAGTGTTCATGTAGAGTCACATAACCTATTGGCCGAAGATGGAGCTCGAGACGACATCCACTAGCTTGGAATACTGTCTCCTGATCTTAAACTGCCATGATCCTTTCCTGACGCATCATTATGTAACACTGCTATTCCGTCTAACCTTCAAAGTTTCAACGAAGACCGTTTGTCCGACATCATCGAAATACTAGCTTAACTGCTCGGTATCCAACCGGTTACCGGATTCCGACAACACTTGCATGACACTTGTGACTTGACAACGAGCCTTAATATCAAGGTCTAATATACCATATTTAATCCATTGCGCAGCTGTTTCGGAAGGGTGAACAAGTCTCTTCACGTATGAATTTTTGTCTAACCTACATCGATATCATGATCTCCGTCAGTACGCGTCGCGTCAAGAAATCACGTGATAACTACCAGCAACACCTAGCCAACCATCCACCCCCAAAGCAGTATTGCAACCGCATCACAAAGTGACTCACAACACAGCAGAATCATTACCATCGACAAAATCGTTCCCGAACACCTTAACATATTGAAAAGTAAACAAGCTAAGGCTGCTCATATGCAGGAGGGAAAACCCAGGATATCTTCAAGAATAGCAAAGGACGATGATTGTGGGTGGAGTTAGATGAGACACCCAAAACTACTAAGCTACTTCTACTTCTTCTTCTGAGCTAAAGACTGCAGATAAATTACAATAGAATGTAGGAATTTTGATTGAGTGAATTTTGGCTTGGATTTGAGAATTGAGTCTGACCGGTAAAAGTAAAGGGGCGAGAAGAAGGAATTGGATGGGAAGTCCACTAGTACTAAAAGTTGATCCTTCTGCATTTGATAATGGGGATTGTGAGGAATAACTAGGACTCTCAAAAACCAATGACAGATAAGGAAGTACATGTACACGATTTCAACCCATTTGTTACGCAATCCAAATCCGAATTCCGTAGTTATTGTGGTTTGGAAATGAATGCACTAGCAAGATTTCTTCTATTCATCTAGTTCATCTAATTCATCTATCTAAACGAATTTGCTGTCCTTGCTCACATACAAGTCAACATACTCATCGACTGCCATTGCCTCAAGTCTTTTGGCGTCATTACCTAGGTCAACCAACTCCTTGACCTTAGCCTCACTGAAATGTGGTCCCAAATGTCTCTTGTATTTGGCCAAAATTTCTGGCTTGGCTTCCTCTCTTCTCAATCTGTGACCCAATGGTGCATCTACAACAATCTCTTCCAGAACTTGTCCATCGTTCAATGTGACGGTCAATGCGTTTGGAATGGTTCGCATGTTCTCATTGTGGTAATCCTTGGTAAATTGTGGATCTTCGACACAGGTAATCTTTTGTCGAAGTGATTCAACCAATGGAGAAGTGGCAGCCTCCCCCCCGTCGGTGTAGTCTGTAGCCTCAAGACGGCCGAAAACGAGCATAACGGCAGCCATATATTGAATGCAGTGATCGCGATCGGCAAAGTTGTCCATAGGCTTGAATTGTTTGTCAATGATACGAATGCAAGCTTCGTGTGTTCGACAGGTGATCTCCTTGATATCAGCGGCAGATTTTCCTTGGTCTACCAATTGCTGACGAATACGCTTCGCGGCTTCAATTGCGGTTTGGGAGTGAAACTCGGCTAAAAATGATTAGATGAGATACTAGCATGGAAATTCGACACATACCTGGATAAGATACCTTGAACAAAACGTTCTCCATAACATAGCTACCATATGGTCGTTGAAATTCGAATTTATTTCCCTTGAAGAGAACGTCGTAGAAACCCCATACTGGAGCGGACAAAACAGTAGGAACGCCAGGCTCACCCTTCATAACCTTCAAGACCAAGTTTACGGCACGCTGGCAAGCATCACCAGCAGCCCATGACTTTCTTGACATGGTATTTGGAGAGTGTCTGTATGTTCTTAAACTCTGTCCATCAACCCAAGCTTGCGAAACGGCATCTGCAGTTTGTTTCTCGCTCAAACCCAGCATTTTGGAAACGACAGCAGCACTAGCAACTTTAACAAGTACAACGTGGTCCAAACCGACTTTGTTGTATGAGTTCAAGAGCGCCAGACAACCCTGGATCTCATGTGCCTTAATCATAGCCTCTAAAACCTCTTTGATAGTTATAATCTTGCCATTGCCGAGATTTCCTCCAGCTCTGTTTGTTCGAGAGATCCAGTCCGCAACCGCGAGAATTGCTCCTAAGTTGTCGGAAGGATGACCCCATTCTGCAGCCAACCAGCAATCATTGTAATCGAGCCATCTAATCATAGCACCGATATTGAAAGCACCATTGACCGGGTCGAGCTGAAATGGGGTACCAGGAACCTTTGTGCCATTAGGAACGATAGTTCCTTCAACAATTGGACCTAATAACTTTGTACATTCTTTAAATCGTAAACCCTCGAGACCGCATCCTAGAGTGTCGAGGAAAACAAATCGAGCTGTGTCGAACTGACAAAATCAATTAGCGGGGTAAACAATGTTATTTTGAATAAAGCTCACGGCAAGATCAGAGTTAATTGGGGTATTGTGAACATAGCTGGCGATGTCCTTGATCTCAGGATCGTACTCTCGAGCTTGGGGTGGTGGCGGGGCCCCAGATTGTAAAGGAGACATGGTGGAGAATTGTTTGAAGGATAATGGTGTTCTTGGTGAAGCTCCGAAGTTTGCTCGAGTTTTCAATGAGACTGGGATTCTGAGGTTTCGTGATTGGGCTGGGAGTCGGAAAGTTCTTGATGCAGTACGAACACTACGATTAATTGTCGACATTGTTCTCTTTTGTTTTCGATCGATGAGGACAAAATTTGACTTTTCACATCGACAGATCAAAAAGCAAAAGAATGTTGTTTGGAATTTAGTAAGATTTAAGTTGGGATTGCTTTTACAATAAGTGGTAGGCAGTTGGCATTAACGGCATTTGCGGAGTAATAACTATTCTTTGACCTTTCCCACCTTCAACCCCTCCAATTGCCTCGGCTAATAGCGGTTCACAACGGCATCGGCGACAGGCACATGTGGGTAAGATTATACGGGGTAGATCAAAATCTAGTAAAAAGCCAGGACAAAAAGGAAATAAAGCTGTGTTTATGCATGTTCGTATTTTTGTAATTTCATACAGGGTTTCTCCTGCTGCTTCCAATTGTCAAATTAGCACCAAGTAACCTAATTCGCTAAGTCCATTATGTTTGCGATCAGACGACCACGTGTGAAGTACCACCCAAAAGATATATATTGATGACAACAAATTTCAACAATCGGTACATCAATGTTTCCTGCTATCCTCCCCAAACTACCTATTTAAAGAATCCGCTAAGAGCTCGCATTGGTAACCTATCCGTATGATCTTTTTTCCTTCTAGCATTGAGAGATTGTCCATCAGGTTCTAGATATATATCTCCCCATCGGACTGCAAGATCCAGAAGTCAGCAATTGTCATTGTGAAAGCAAGATGCTTAAAAGAAAGAAAGAAAACTTTTAGGGGGAAAAGCTGCGTCAAGAAACCAAAGGGATGTATATGGTAAGAATCGAGAATAGGGTTTGGGATGAGGACACATACTTAACAATTGTTCTCCAAAATTTATATTCCGTAACGGTCTAATAGTGACACGCAATTTTCCAGCCCAAACTTCCGAACGAGCTTCAACGTTTGCTGTTTGACTCGTGCCTGCGTTGATCAGTCTGATCCATCCTCCTTTATGGCCCGTAATAAGTGTTGCGATGGGATCTGTATTGGTATCAATTGGCTTCTTGGTTAAAACATCTGGATCAACATCTAAAACTTTTCCATTGTTGTCAACGAATGGAGGAGCATAGAAGTCTACAGAGGAATTATGATGACACTTAAAGTCCCCCTCGGCTCCCAGCGGGATGAATTCTCCAAGGACTTCCCCAATGATATGTCCTTTTTGAAGTTTCTGCAAAGTCCTAATTCCAAGATTAAGTTGTTTGGATGTGGTGCTGGATGTGTACTCTTTGATCTCTACGAGAACTTTATCAAAGACACTTAATGTCGTGCATTGACAGATTTTCTCTTCTCCTGCTGTGTGCAACGGGCCTGTCCGAAGACCACAAGCGACACATGCAGGATAATCTTTACCCCATTCGCGACATGGATGTTGGATATCCGCAGGTGGGTATTCCCAGGTAGGCGGCCAGCTCGATGGCGGAGCATAGCGCTTGAAATTTTCCGGATTGTATACATTCTCTTTCAGGTTTTCGAACCGACGGGAAATCACGCGCTCATGTACCGTCCCATACATTTCTCTATGGGGTATATTTTCTTCGAATTTGCTAAACGGAAGTGTATGGAATTCCTGGCGCACTGACTCGCAGTCACCGGGAAGGGGTGTGAATAAGCAGGGTAGAAGTCTTCCATCCAATGCGACATACACTTCGTAAGGGTCTCTTATTGAAGGATCCAGTTGGAAATTTTCATTCGCAATCTGTACACCCTTTACTACATTTTGACCTGTTCGACGGTAAACCATCATGTATGGAATACGCCGGGCGATAGCAAAGGCTCTAATGCTGACATGTTCCAGTCCGAGCTTGATTTCAATTTCTCTCCATCTACCTAAAAATGCGAATTCCTTATCGTCCCTTTGAGCTTCACTTCCATTAGGTAGTTCTCCATATCTCAATGCATTGCGGAAATTCTCTGATAGCATGAGGACGGCAGTACTGTCAAGTCCAATTCCATATCCAATGCCACCCACAACCTCTTCTGGGTTCGAGGCTAATCTTAAAAATCGCTGCCATGACACATGATGAGGCTGGTCAGACATCTGGGCATAAGGGTCATAAGTCTCAGAATTAATGAGCGTGGGGTGCGAAAAATGATTTTGGAGGTCCAGGTAAATCCTCTCCAATAATTCCACTGCAAGCCTTTTGTTCGCTTCTCGTGCAAGAATTTCACTCACTGGTTGTTCTGGAGACTTTTGGAATCGTTTCTGCTGAATTTCTAAAAATTCCCGTCTTCTCTCTGCAGCTTGGGCCGCAGTGTCATCATCGTGCTTTCTCTTCCATTTACGATGGACTTCCACATACGCCGTTTTTTGTTGCTGTGCTGCATCTTTCACACCTGTCGCAAATGTGATTTTCAAATTTTTGATTCTTTCCTCCTCCCGAAGCCTCTTCCGCTCCTTATAAGCGGATCTAGCCAAGGGGTCCAAAGATGCCACTCTTTGTTCCTCGAACTCAATCACTTTCTTTTCGTTCTTTGCTCTCTCTAATCTCTCAGCGGGTGTGAGCTCACTGGAACGTCGCCTGGACCGTCGCCGCCGAGATGAAGATCTAGAGCGAGAAGGAGGACGAGCAGCTAATTCAAGTGGTGGCGCGATTTCATCCTGGTCCGGGGCAAAATTTGCCCATGTTGGCCATTCAAACCAATTAGGCATTACGAGTCGATTGCGATTTGGAATTTCTGGGTAGTTGATAGAATTGAAAATGTTGTGAGGCACAAATGAAGCTATTGCAGTTATCGCATCCTAATCTTCATGGAAACATATAATAAATCTAAATTCTTTGTGCTCTATTGAATCCACATTATACAATGAAAGAGAGTCCCCGCATGCGGTCACAATAAATTTCGAGAACAAACAAAGGAAGGAAAGGATTTCATTGTTTCTATTATAATTCACAAGTGCGTGAAATTTTGGCGTCTACGCCGTGAACGGCTTCCTCTCTGTCATGAAGGGCCCGATGAGCGAAAATCTCCTGATGCTATGTTGAGGCATTTCAAGACAAAAGACAATGGTTCTATTCCAGATATGTACTGATAGAGAACTACAAGAATTCATGTAAAATTAGCTAGTTGATAGTGGGAATGATGATTATAGGCGGGTAGAACCCAGATTCGAAGGTTTACATTGACATATTACACGTGATATGGTTATCACGTTTCCAGGCATCCGACTGGCACTCAATCGTGCCTTTCAACCCATAAACGTGTACTGTCGAGAAACTTTTTGATATAAGAAGTACCCAAATCAATTTTGGACACGTTTAATTGAAGCTACAGTCTTCGCAAGACAAGCTTGTAATCTTACAGAAGTATGAAATCTCTCCGAGGAAGCCGGGTGTTCTCAAACTCTAAATATATAACCGACAATAAAGAGTAAACTAGTCCTAGTATGGAAAAGTATAATACTAAGAAGTGAAAGGATTGAAACTTACCATAGAGGATATAAACCGACCAGCAGTTCATCTATGACTCAAAATATGCTAGCCAGGAAGCTAGATACGGGTTGTTGTGGAACTTGGATGGTTTGCACATATCGGATGCGATAGTCTGAATGGGGCATTGACTACCATTAGCGTCAGTGAAGTAGCTTCTTTCAATTCTTTGACCGTTTATAGCGAGATAGAGTTCATGTGGATGAGATACGGATGGTACATCTCCTGATAATGATAGATACCCTATAGCCGCTACTAAACAGCTTTCATTATAGGACTCATGATATCTAACCTTTCCGCTAGGAGTAAACATGCGCAAACTACCAGATAGTGGTCCTTGAAAATCTACAAAATTGGTTCCAGTCTTTCTTAGTAAAGTTCTCGAGTGAAATTCGGAATTAAATAGAATGCATAGAGATAGCGAGACACTCGTGACTTACTGAACCATCCGCCAATTAATACCTTTTTCGAAGAATGGTTGGTCAGACGAGGTCAGCCTCAAATTGGAAAAACAATTGGGAAGTGAGAAATAAGTGGTGAGCGTAGATTTGAAGCTGTTGAGCATAATATCATTGTTTTTGGAGATACTTACATTGCAATTGTGCCTTTTGTGTTTTTTAGTGGAGGACAATCCAACAAAGGTCAGCAAAGGGGCAGCCATTAACAATCGGGTCTTTTAAGGAAGGAAGTCAATGTTTTCTTCAGGTGGAACAAACAAAGCACTTGCTATCACAGAAATTATTAAGTATTCTTATTATCCTGGGACTAATATAGCATCGGGAGGGTCAGAATTTGCAAGGACAAGATGACTGGGTGAAATAATTTTCTGTCTTTAACTCTCGCTTATCGCGTTGAAACGCCCTTCGTAGCTACTGTATATGCCTGCACAAATATCCTAAATGCCATATTTCCTATAAAGTACACCTTACCCCTACCAAACGCCATCCTGCCCTTGGAATATTATGCTCAAACATGTACATTGAAGTTTATTCTTCCTCACTTTCATCACTCTCATCTTGGTGATCCATCAACTCTTTCTCCATTTCCGCTTGAAGATCCGCCTCCAAATCTGCCTCCAGATCCATTGCATCTTCATCGCTAATCGCTCCAGGATTGTTGACTGGGCTCGGCAGTTTCAAATGATCCACATCCTGGTTCGTTTCATAGATTCCATCATGGTCCGTATCCTCGTCTTCATCACTGATCTCCTCGCTCGGCTCCCTTTGAAAAATTGGAGCTCTATACTCGTATTGCTGTTGTGAGCTCTGTCCATCTGGATATTCAACTGTGAAACCGTCGTCCGATTCTTCTTCTGGTTCAGGGCTTGGTTCGCGTGGTGGTGGTTTCTTCTTAGCCTTCTCGGCCTTCGCGCGGGGGGCAGGTTTTGCTTTTGCTGTCGTCGTAGCTTTTGGTTTTGAGGCTTTCTTTTGCGGTGCTTTAAGTTGAGGCTCCTCTGTGACCGCCTTAGTGGGTGGTTCTAATTGTTCGTATTGTGATTGCAGTTGAGCGGCGTCATCCGTCCATGGTGCGCTTGTCAAATTCATATCAAATGTGGAATCAATGCGATCCAAAACCAAGACCTTCCTGACAGGATCAAACGTAAGTATGAATTGTCCCTCTCCGGAGGATCGGGCTCCGGCATATGTATAATCATCATTATTATCGGAGAAGGAAAGGTCGTAATCTGAAGAACTGGGATTGGAAGAGGGCTTTAATTGTGCTGAGTTCGCAGAGGCACCAGCAGTTGGGTCAGGCTTGTGGTTGTCTAACAATTGTCAGTGGATCGTTATCTGCTGCCAGGCCAGCAGAACCTACATCGTATAGCGGTATATATATTATTGGAAGCTTTTCCAAGTAGGGCATCGCTGAGAACGATGGGGTATTTTCCTGGCTTGTCCCAGTCTATTGCCGCAGCCATGGTCGGTTTTCGATGTAAGGAACTAGCCTCTTTGAAAAGTTGGTAATACAATAAATGATGATAAAATGATGCGAGAATGAACCGGGGTTATGATAAAAATTATAAGTTGAAGTAATGAATATGTCGCGAATAATACCAATATCGAATCAAAGTGAGCGTGAGTATGAGCAATGGTTGACAAAATGAAGTGAGTGGAGTGAAGGCTTGCAGGTGCGTGTTATGGGAATGGGATTGTTAATTGATTAGGTAAGGTTAGGGTTATGTAATGAAACGTACGGAGGTTAAAAGTTGGTGGAGTTGTGGATGTGGAGTGGAGTAGAGTGGAGTACAAGGTAAACTCAATAAGGTAAGGTTACTCCGGTATCTTGGGGAAACTCTCCGTAACCTTATCAACTCATATCATCCGTACTAATCTTACAAAATCTTTTCAATACGGATTTATCGACATCTTCAGAGTCATCTAGTAGGACACAGTATTAGGACACAGTATTGGGTCACACTATTTAGCCAAATTGTAAGTCTAAGATATACATTCCCACCTGGGCACAATTCTCAATATCCAAAATAGATTCCGAAGATAACCGCATCTCAGGTAACCAGGTACATACATAACTTACCATTGGTATCGAATGTGTCCAGTGTTTTTCTTGCCCCGCAGACCTTTACACCTTGCGACCTTGAATTTACCCTATCACAAATGAATATCGTCTCAGAGTTTCAACCTGCATTGCATATGATCTTTATGCAACTGTCAATTAAAGATAACGTTATGAAGATCTGAAGGCGGGCTTTTCGTCATCATGGGGCTTCTTACTTAACGAGGAGACCCAGTAAATGGAGGGGTACTCTTCTTGTCACATCCTCATGCAGTTATATAGACTGGATCTTTGTCGCATCTCAATAATTATCTTTTGAATCCCAAGTTCGAGCTCGCTCTTTTCTATTCTCAACATGGCACCAAACAGTTCTCAGTTTGGCGCAGAAGGCGCTACTCCGTTGAATATACCTGCGGACGGCTATGCGATACCTGATATTACCTTTTGTGATCCTAAGAACCGGCGTCTTAAGGTTCTCACAGTTGGTGCAGGTTTTTCGGGGATCATGATGGCTTACTATATTCAAAAGCAATGCCAAAAGTAAGGCTTTCCGATGCAGAACATCTAATTACACAAAATATCAGTACTAATCCACGTAGTGTTGAGCATGTGATTTATGAAAAGAACCCTGACATCGGTGGTACATGGTATGAAAACAGATATCCAGGCGCTGCCTGCGATGTCCCTTCACATGCGTACACATATCCTTTTGCTCTCAATCCTGATTGGCCAAAATTCGCCAGCGGAGCTGTAGATATCTGGAATTATCTGGACAAGGTTTGCGACACTTTCGATCTTAGAAAATACATGACCTTCAACACTGAGGTAATCGGTTGTTTTTGGGATGAGGAGGCTGGGAAATGGTCTGTCAAGATGAAGCAAACATCAGAATCTGGCGAGAAGGAATTTGAGGAGACGTGCGACCTGTTACTGCATGCAACGGGAATATTGAATAATTTCAAGTGGCCAGACATTAAGGGAATCCAAAACTTTAAAGGCAAAGTCATTCGTACGTTAACTGTCGCTCTCTTCATTTAATAAATGATCACTTACTGGAGACAGATACTGCAAGATGGCCAGGTGACTATCAACAAGAACAATGGAAGAATGAGTCTGTAGCCATCATTGGTTCCGGGTCTTCTTCCATTCAGACATTGCCTGCCATGCAACCTCATGTTAAACACATCGATGTTTATGTACGTACACCTATCTGGTTCAACTCGATCGCTGGAAACGACGGACGAGGCAAAGAATACACTTTGGAGCAACGCGAGAAGTTCAAAAATGATTTGCCCGCGCTTGTTGAGCATGCAAAGTATTTTGAAAACCAGATAAATAGTCTTTGGTATATGTTTTTTAAGGACAGCGAGGCCCAGAAGGAAGTCCGAAAAATGTTTGCTGCCCGAATGGAAGAGTCTATCAAGGACAAGAGACTTCTTGAAGGCTTTACTCCAAAATTTTCTGTTGGATGTCGGAGGATGACCCCTGGTAAGAATTCAGTGTCATTGCAGGTGCTATCGCGCTAATGATATAGGCAATCCTTATATGACTGCAATACAAGAGCCAAATGTAGATGTTCATTTTTCTGCAGTGGAGGAGATTACGCAAGACTCGGTTATCGACAGTGAAGGGGAGGAGCGTAAAGTGGATACAGTAATTTGTGCCACGGGCTTCGATGTCTCATATCGCCCACGATTCCCAATAATAGGTCAGAAGGGAGTTGATCTCCGAGAAAAGTGGAAATTAGTTCCCGAATCATATCTTGGTCAGTCGAATCAGTTCTCCCCGCCTGGATCACAGAAGCATGAGCTAACTGGTCCACAGGTATCACGGTGCCGGATATACCTAACTTTATTACTTTCATTGGACCAACATGGCCTATATCTAATGGATCTGTTTTGGGACCTCTTGGCGGGGTAGCAAACTATGCTATAAAATTCATTAAGAAGATGCAGAACGAATTTATCAAGTCTATTGCTCCAAATCAAGATATGACGGATCTTTTCAATGCACACACACAGGAATTAATGAAGCAATCCGTTTGGACATCAGGCTCAGGGTGTCGTTCTTGGTATAAAAGTAAAGCCTCATATCTATCGATTGAGCCCCATTTACTAAGTCGGAGAAGATAATGAAACAGGACGCGTGAATGCCATTTGGCCTGGTAGTTCTCTGCATTATATGCAGGTGATTGAAAATCCAAGATACGAAGATTACAATATCACTTACCAGAATAAACATAACCCGTAAGTTATCCTGATGTTTTTCTGCTCCACAACCTTCTAGATCTTTACTGACATATATCTAGATGGGCGTACCTTGGACTCGGATTCACTATCGAAAATCGTACGGAGGGTGCTGACGTGTCACCTTACATCAACGAAGAAGCTATTGATCCAAAATGGTTGGAAGTCATGAAAGCTGAAGCTCTTGTAGCAGGCCGTAATGCTCAGCAATAGTTGTGTGAAATGAAGGTTGTTAATTTAGTTCACTATTCATAGTTCTTGCTCAAATTTCATTCTTATATTGAGGAAGTTAGTAACGCTGGTACAATACAGAACGGAATAAATATATCATGAAGACATAGGGTCAGGTGTGAATAAATGGAAGCAAATTGATACGGTCACTGTATAAAGCAATCAAGATGCATATGGTCTTTTGCCAGAGATGGCCAAAAATTTACAACAGCCATTTCTCATCCCTAACCATTTCCTTCTTCACAGCCTCCCATTTCTGTTCACCAAACTCATAATAAGCTTCCTGATCTGGAGGTCCATCACCAATCCTCCGCAAAACCACCACATCCTCCAACCTCGCCGCTTTCATCAAACCTCGAAACGGCGTATTGATAGCATATGTCTCGAGCGTAATTTTACCACATCCTAATTCATAAAACCCAAATTCAACCACCGCACACAAAGTTTCCAACGCAAATCCTTTTCTCGCAAACCGGTAATCTATTAACACCCCAATATCACCGATTAGGATATCTTCACCAGTACCATCATTTGACTTTTCCACTGGGAAAGAATTAAACCCCGTCATACCAATCAGGAAACCATCATGAACTCTCAAATCTTTTACATTGTCACTTCTAGATATTTCCTCGCTATCCTCCTTGAGAATAACTACAAGCCAGGCATTTTTCCCCGCGGCAGTTGATATTTTTTGTGCCTCGAGGCGCTGGGCTTGTACTTCGGTTGAGAGATCAGGATCTACTACTCCACCGAACGGTCTATTTTGGGGGTTATTTCGTATAATTGTGAATGGGTGCGCATCGGAGGAAAGTGCACTGCGAAGGATGAGACGTGGAGTTGTGAAGTTGTGTGATGGGCGGGACCAATGAGGAGGTTGGACTGTAGATTTTTGGGACATTGTTTGGTGATTTTGAGGCTCTTTGTGTGTGTATCGTGCTGAATCTTTATTTTTTGGTGGTGATATGAAGTTTATATATCATTGTGTCGAGTTACTATGGGTGCACGTGTGAGTCACATTTCTTAGCAGTTGAGGTTAATCGTGAAAGTAAGCCATGCATGTCATATCAATCACCCCGCATATCCCACCTATGATAGATAATCTCATATTCGTGTAACGACACCAATGCCAACCTCATACTTTACTTTGCATTCTATTCTATTCTATTCTATCTCAGTGATCTACCGGAGGAAAGTTTTCATACCTGGTTTTAGTGATATAGCAATTGTGTCCTCGAGCACGAGTCAAAGAAGATTCACACCATTCATAAGGTTGACATTTCTTCTGTTGAAACTGGCAGTCTTTTCCCGTCACGATGCTAATTTATCGATAGCCTACATTAATCAGTGGAAGAGCGGTGCTGAATTCAACAAATCGATGACATTAGTGATATCAACATGACAACTCCCTCTTCAACAGAACTTTATACGTCAATGATCAATATTGGCACAGACTCTTACCTCCTGGGAGCTGGCTTGCCCACCGATTTTGAGATTACTTCTAGCGGGAGCGTAGAGCCAGTTACCATTATCTCTGTCAATGATGATGATGATGATTCTACTACTCCGTCATGGTTAAACACCAAATACGAAGAATTTTCCCAGCTAGATGATGTATGGTGTCATGCTTTTACTCGCAATGTTTTTGCTCAAAAGAAGCCTGGAGTGTTGAGTCTAGTTGGCGGCTCTAATGCACCGCAAGTTCGGGAGCGCAAGACTTTCGCATATCAAGGAGGATCTCTTCCTTCTGGACCTTATATACTGAGTGATTCAAAGATTCATCCAGTCTATAAATTATACCCGGATCCACTTGGTGCATTTGTCTGTGGCATTATACCCACTTCCCTAGGCAGCAATCGGTATGAAATGTGACAGACTTGAGTCTAAATCTCAAAGCTAATACTATTTAACAGCTACCAGAGAATACCCACGAATTTTATTCCCGTCCCGTCTCGATTATACTCACCATTGCCATCCGACCTTCAGCCACTCTCAGGTAAACGTATAGCAGTAAAAGATATATTTGATCTCGAAGGTGTCAAAACCACCGTCTGTAGTAAAGCCTACGAAGCGCTTCAAGATCCCGCAAAAAAGACAGCTCCATCAATACAAAAGCTCATTGGTCAAGGAGCTGTGATTATCGGAAAGGTAAAGACGACTCCCTTTTCATCTGGAATGGGCCCTAGAGATTGGGTTGATTATCAAGCACCTTTCAATCCTCGAGGATGTGGATATCTTGATGCGAACTGTAGTAGCGCGGGAAGTGGAGCTGCACTTGCTGGGTATGAGTGGTTGGATTTTACTATTGGGTCAGATAGTGAGTATGATATACTTAGAATTATGCATGGAATTAATCTATGTTATAGCACTCGGGAGTATGGTAGGTCCCGCGGCGGATAACGGTCTTTTCGGAATTAGGCCAACTCACGGCCGTATCTCCTGCGAAGGTGTTGTTCCGATATCATCGTAAGTAGTCTTTCCTGTATGTGAGCGGCCGTCGAGCTAACGATCTAGATATCTTGACACACCTGGTATTTTCAGCCGGGACATAACAGAGTTCAGTACCGCAACAAAATCATGGCTAGGTTCATCTAATCTACAAGCTTCCTTAGCGGTAACATTCCCACTAATTATTTTAAGTCTGGATCGACTTATCACTTATGATTAATAGATGCCTACAAAATTGACCATTCTTTCGGAAAGATACGCCGACTTTTCGCCAGAGGTAAAAGGGGTGATGGAGAATTTTATACAAGATTTTGAGAAAGCTACCCAGCTTAATCGTACTACAACCACCATGGAAAAGTTATGGGCATCGCATGCTCCAGTAAGCTCCGGAAAGAACTTTTCGGAGATTTTTGGATCTGTAAGTGTGCTTTATACACAAAACAACCCAAAACCCAGTGTCCAATAGTCCGGGCTGCAGACCAACTCGACTTTGTCAAGTCTTGAATCTTTGAAAATGCCTCACTCATTCTGGTAAAATCATTTCATTTTAATCAGTTGAATTTCAAAAGAAATTCAATGCTTAGTATGATTTCAATATCAAAAGTTCTCCATCATTGGACCTGCAGTCCGGACTATTAGATCCACAGACCAAATCACCAATCTAATCCGAGTAGACCTTAGCACACATTCAGCTATACGATCACTACAACAACACCATCTCATTTCGCGAAGATTACCGGAAAAGATTCAACATAGAGCCATATGCCGAGCCGCTACTTCGCTACAAATGGTAAGAATACTCTAACCCTCCATCCACAACATCGATGTCAAAATTCGATACTAACGCACACCAAGGAATCTCGGCGCGAAACTCACACATGAACAATACACCAACGCACTAAAAGAGAAAGAAGTCTTCGCGACTTTCATCAAAGATCATATCTTTAGCGAGGGCGGAGTAATGCTCCTACCCTTCGGTTTTCCAGATGTGTTTTATCGTGATGAGTATTCCGGGTTCGTGCCCATATATCAGCTAGTGATAATGAGCTCATCACAGCGCATGCTAACAATAAAATAGTTCCGTCGAAGAATGGGGCCCACGATGGCAAGGATTCAATCTTTTTATAGCTGCATTCCCAGCACTGGGTGGCGGACCAGCGGTGTCAATTCCTGGTATTTTTTCTCTCTGCTCAATTTTTCTTTCGATATATGCTGTGCTGTGCAGTGCTAATAGAATCCGCGTAGTGGGACAGCGACCTTACGATTCGAAAGTGACGGGTGTGAAGGAATATCAACCGGTTGGCTTGATGTTATTAGGTGCTCCGGGTAAGATGACACATTCATGGTTCCAGGGAAGATAGCTAATAGGTGCAGGGACGGATGAATATCTTATTGAATTAGTGAAACATATGTTAGTGACTTCCGGTCGACCATTGAGTGTCAAGACTGGAAAAGTGACGTTTTGAGATGCAGTACTTGGAATACATACATATAGTAGGTCGTTGATTCTGGTGAAATAGCCTATGTGTTCTGGATAGTGGCCAATGAATATAGGATATTAATAAACGAACTACGTTTTTAAATGAATTAACTCATTGTCTAATGCATTCGGCTCAGGTAAAAATGAGACTATTCACAAATAAACTAAATTTATATAAAGAATTATATATCCAATACTCCAATTCATTGATAAATTAATAAATAAATTTTAAGATTATGTTAAAGTGAATGGTTCCTGCGTAGCACGGTGCACAGGGCACTAGTCCTATTAGGACTAGATTGAGAAGCTCTCTGTAAGAGAGCTTCGCACTTCCGTAGAACTTAGAAGAGAGATTAACCTACTACACCAATATTACCTCAGTTCTGCCCTATCAGCTTCCCACT